GCCCGCACGCGCCCCCCCCCCCCCCCCCCAGACGCCAGACGCCAGACGCCAGACTCCAGACTCATGGGCCAGGCACCGCGCCCACGTATCGTCTGCTTCAAACACCAGGCGCTGCTGAAACACGCAGAGCCTCCGCCGCCCTGGTCCTGAGGCATGGCCCGCCACCTCACGTCCAACGCCCGTCGTCTGTCGCTGCTGTCGTGCCGGCATGGCCATGCGCCCGTCTACCGCTAGCGCAGCCTCGTCCATGCCAATCTACATCCTACACATTACACATTACACATTACACCCCCCCCCCCGCACGCCACCAACCCGTCCACCACCGCCAGCCTTGCTTTGTCTCTCTGAATTGCTTTTGCCCCCCCAGCCGAGCCCCATGCTTCACCCCTCGTCTCACACATCACTCTCCACTCACAGCCATGCTCAACTGTCAGAGGACGACGCAGCTCAAGTCTTGATTTTGCTTGATTCTCCTTGGTGCTCCGTCGCACTAGTGCTATCGGTATGCTAATCCACATACGCCGCAGCCCATCTTCCCCACAAGGCCTCGAGGCTGTGGCTGAACACAAACGCCTGGTTCTTTTTTTAGGATCCCGCGCCCGGCACCAATGCTCATGAATTCATGGCTACTTCGTATGCTAACCTACTCCTACACATCCGCTGTACCACGCTTAGTGACCAGCCAGCGCGTACGCCCTGCGGCGGTCACGCTCCTCGGCAATCGACAGCTTGACACCCTTGCCCTTGGGCAGAGAGATCCATGGCTTCTCCTTTCCAATGATGCTGCGCAGCCCGTTAGTCTTTGCCCCCACACCTCCGCCCGCACTGAAAACTTACATAACGTTGGACTCACGAGTGCTGAACTCGTTGTCAACAGCGTCCTTGATGTGGACAATGTTGAAGCCTCCGTCGTGGCGCTCACGGTGCGTGATGACACCAACACGACCCATGTTACGACCACCAGTCACCATGACAATGACACCAGTGTCGAACTTGATGAAGTCGGCAATCTTGCCAGTGGCCAGGTCCACCTTGACAGTGTCGTTGACCTTGATCGAGGGGTCGGGGTAGCGGATCCTACACAACCGTTTAGCAGCAATTTTTTTTGGACATAGCCGAACCCTGGTCGTATGCCTTGGTCACAGAGGTTTCCCTTCTGCAAACCTAGCCCACACTATGGTCCAACGGCTGATAGAGCGAGAACTTACGTTCGCGCATCGTGCGTAACCAAGTAGGGAATTCCGCCCTTGCCAAGCTGGACGCGCTTGACCTTGCCGAGCTTGTATTGTGCCTCCTCGTCGGTAATGCGGTGCACCGTGAAGCGGCCCTTGGTGTCGTAGATCAGACGGAAGTTCTCGCCAGTCTTCTCAATCGAGATGACGTCCATCAATCCCGTGGGGAAAGTGGTGTCAGTGCGGACCTTGCCGTCGACCTTGACCAGGCGCTGCATCAGGATGGCGTTGACCTCGCGGGCGTTGAGCGCATACTTGAGGCGGTTGCGGAGGAAGATGATGAGCGGGAGGGAGTCGCGGAGCTTGTGAGGACCGGGCGATGCCTTGGGGGCATAGGCACCTGCCAATTGTCAATTTCTTCTTGCCATGCCATCGTTTGCACGACTCGAGCGCCTACCGGACAGCTTGTCCAAGAGCCAGTGCGAGGGCGCGCTGAGGCGCTTCTGGTGCTTCACGGGTCCACGCGCCATTTTGACTGTTGTGCGAGGTTAGTCGTCGAGGTTGTCGGAGGTCCTGTCAGAGTAGGAATCCCAAGTTCGAGCAATTGATCAAATTCCATCGCTAGCGCCGTGTGCTAACCGAGCACTAGCGCCCTTTCGCCAAGCCTAGCCGACCATGACCACGCCCGGCCACCAATTGCATGGCCGCCGGCTTGACACAAAAATCCATCATTTCCACATTCTCAAGATAACGAATCAGGATGCAGCTGCAAAGAGACTGCAGTGTTTTGATTGCCTCGCCAGCATTCTGGCTGAGACCTGCACGGCCACCACTTCGTACAAGTTGTGACAACACGAGTGCTATACATGCTTCAAACAGTCAATTCTTTCAAATACAACACCACCGGGACATCACTTTTTCCAATTCAAGTCCCATGCATAAACCAAACATCATTCATTCTATTTACAGGCACGGCCGCGCTCACGCATAGCCCTTGAGCACAGCAGCCTCGGCATTGAGAATCGAAGATCCTGCCGCTCCGATAACCGCTGGCACTTGTTAGCATAATCTCGTCTTGTTTCTTAATCACAGAATTCAACTTACTGTTGTGGCTTAGTGCAACAAACTTGATATCAAAGATGCCAGACTCGTCCTCGCGGATTCTGCCCACACTAACCGTGTATCCCCTGTCCGTCTCTCTGTCCAGCCTGGGCTGGGGTCTGTCCGGCTCCTCCATGACTGCAATGGCTTTCTGGGGCGCAGACGGGCAGCCCAGCTTCTGTGCGTCCGAGACATATTCGCGCATGGCCTGCTTGACCTCCTCTGCGCTCGGGGGTGGGCGACGCTGGAAGCGGAGCGATACGCATGCCGTGTGTCCGTCTAGGACCGGCACTCGGTTGCATGCCGCAGAGATCTTCATGGGCTGATCCACGAAACCCGTAACGCCCTCGTTGACGCTTCCCAGGATCTTGGACGCCTCCGTCTCGAGCTTGTCTTCCTCGCCCGAGATAAAAGGTACGACATTGTCGATAATGTCCATGCTGCTGACACCCGGGTACCCAGCACCTGAAACAGCTTGCATTGTCACCACCGACACTTGGTCAACGGGACCAAACTTGTCCTGCAGCGCAGCAAACGGAATCACGATACCAATGACAGCGCAGTTTGAGTTGCAAACCAGGAAACCCTTGTCCAGCTTGTAGTGTTGCCTCTGGTGCTTGATCACGTCGAGATGTGGGAGGTTGACGGTGGGGACGACGAGTGGAACAAGAGGATCGCGACGGTAGTTCTTTGCGTTGGAGAAGACGGCGAGTTCGGCCTTGAGGAAGGCCATTTCTGTACAAGAAGCCTTAGTCGCTGCGCATGACATGTTCCTAAAATGTACATACCAACATCCCCCGCAACATCGCTGTCGAGTCCAGAAAAGACCATGTCGCAGTCCTTGAACTCCTCGGGCGTGCATTTCTTCACCACCAACTCTCCAATGCGCTCCGAGTACGGCAGCGCCTGCTTCCACTTGACGGCATCTTTGTATTTCTTGCCAGCCGACCGCTCCGAAGCCCCGACAGCGTGCAGCTCAAAGTGTGGGTGGAGCGCGAGGAGCAGAATGAAGCGCTGGCCGACTGAGCCCGTCGCGCCGAGCACGCCTGCAATTGAGTCAGCCAGTTATTCTGCAGCTTCTAGTGCGGGCTGCGTACCGCACTTCTTCTTTGGGAAATTTCGGTTCGTCGATGTAAACTTTTCAGCGTCCATGGTGGTGGGTTTGGGCAAACGAGGAATTGAGTCAATCGACTTCTCAAAGTTCAAGTTATGACGCGCGGGGGTGGGGTGGAAAACGCGACCACCGATCGCGGAGTGCGCACGCCCGCATTCTGGACCACAAGCAATTTAGTCAATTTGTTCTCCAAACTAATGTGCGTCAACTTTTGGGTACCCATATTACAACCAACATGCATACAAAATCCATTCCTACCCCTCCAAGATGCAGTGCAGAACGTCAGATATACCCCCAAATGCATTTGTACTTGCTCGTCAACGGAAGAAAAAAAAAAGAAAGAAGAGAGGAAGCCGGAGCGTGCTACGGGCTTGCCTGGGCATCCATAATCTTGCCCGGGTTCATGAGCCAGTAAGGATCCAGGGCGCCCTTGATACTCCTCATGACGTTGATAGTATCGATACCAAGCTCCTTTTGCAGTGATGCCTTCTTGCCCAGTCCAATGCCGTGCTCGCCGGTACAAGTGCCCTCCATTTCGAGTGCACGATCAACCATGTCATGAACGCACTTTTCGACGGCGGCGCGCTCTTTGGGGTCCTTGCTGTTATACATGATGCTTTCGTGGAAGTTTCCGTCGCCAATGTGGCCTAGGATACTGGCAAAAAGGCCGAGGTCGTCCATTTCCTTTTTGGAAATTTCTACATTTGTGTCAGCTAGCACAGATTGACGGGCATGATGACGGTAGCGTACCAATAATGTCGGGGAGGCGGGAAATGGGGACTGCGACGTCGGTCGACCAAACCTCGTCACCTTCGCGACGGAGCGCCAGCATGCTCCACAACGACTCCTTGCGCGCCGACCACAGGATTTTCTGCTCCTCGGCATTGACGGCAAATTCAAAATCGCCGCTCTTGTTGGCCTTTGCAATCGCCTTTACGAGCTCAATATTCTCTTTGACCTGGTATGCAGTTAGTTCCGTTCTGGGTAAATGCGCAGTCATAGGGCTGAACACACCCCTGCTTTGGTTCCCGAAAATCTGTTTGCGGCTCTTAGCTCATGCTTGATAAGACGGGAGAGGACGGAAAACTCACTTGAAGAACATGGTTGGCAGCTCTTTCCATTTCTTGTTGGTCGACCCGGCTTTGTTGATGACGCCCATTTGCACGTCGTCCATAATCTCCATGGCGGCCACTGGGACCCCGGCCCGCAGTACTTTTGAGGCTGCGGCGGCGGCATCGCGTATAGTGGGAAAGGTGACGACTGCAACGCTCGTCTCTTGAGGAATCACGGCCAACTTGAGCGTTATCTCGGTTACGATTCCGAGTGTGCCTTCTGACCCGATGAACAGGTTCGTCAAATTGTAGCCGGCCGATGATTTCCTAAGCGATCATCAATGACGTGCGAATGCCAAGACACGAGAGGGTGCATACCGGGGTCGCTGTCTGGTCTTGATGACTGTGCCATCAGCGAGCACAACCGTCAGATTGATGACCCAGTCCTTCATGGTGCCATATCGCACAGCATTAGTGCCGCTGGAATGATTAGCTTGCAACACCCACGCAGCGATAACGACGGGCTCACCTGCAGCTGGTGCCTACCATGCCTCCAATTCGAGCCTGACACGTTGGTTACCAATATTCGAGTTGCGACATGCGATGCATGCATACCGATGGGCCAGGGTCAACTGGGAAAAAGAGGCCAGAGTCCTTGATCTGGTCGTTGAGGCTCATCCAGGGCACCGAAGGCTGAACGACAACGTCCATGCTGCAGTTTCATGTTAGCGGCCCCAACTATGGTATGCAGAGTGCACTGCAAACTCACTCGTCCTCGTGCAAGGCAACAATCTGGTCCATGAAGGAAAAATCAATGCTCATGCCTCCGTATGGGGCCGAGAAGTTTGCTTCCAGGCTTGAACCTCCAGAGTAGGGAACTTTGTTTGATCAGCACACAGGTCTCTGCAAGGCGTCACAAACGTACTCATGGGTATTCTGTACTTGTAGCAGGTCTTGGCAATTGCAGCACATTCCTGCGTGGATTTGGGGTAGGCGACGGCGACTGGCAGTTGGTCAATATTGATGGACGACCACTCCGAGTAGCCGTGTCTGTGCAAATCGTCGTCGTCGGTACTGATGGCATCCTCGCCCAGCACCTCTCTCAGCTCAGCAATGGCCTACAGAAGCTATGGTGAGCGGGTTGAACAGGTCATGCTGGGCCAGAAACGCACCTTTTCCATGTCGTGCTTGTTTGCATACTGAGGACCGGTGGATTTGAGCCATGGCATCTGGATGCGGTGGGGCTCATCGTTGACGCCGTAAAAGTACGTGGTTGTGCCGGTGACGGCGGAGAAGAGCAAGGCTCGGCCAGAGTTCCAGAAAGGGCGCTGGCTGGGCTTGGGCCGGGAGGCGTGGTGGGCTCCGCTTTGTGCTCGAGTGCCGGGGCGCTTGAGCGAAGGCGAGACTGTTTGCCTCACTCGTGCTGCTGTCTGGCGAAACATGGCGAGACTGGCGAGGAGGGGACAAGGAGACGGCGACAAGAGGCGTTGGACTACTTGGGCCGACTGGTAGTTGGGGAGGCCATAGGCCGATGCACAGTTGCCGAGTTAGGGTGGTGGAAGAGACGGAGGAGAGGATGGGCGCACGAAGGCACTAGCCATTTTGTGGATCTCACGGCTAGACCAGCACAGCAAGCGCCGAAAGAGTTTATTTGAGCGTACAGACAGTTGGCGCGATTTATTGTTTCGGGTATGGGCTTGGGCTGTGGTGGCCAGCGCACGGGTAAGACTGCCATGGCGCGCGTGGGGAGGCTGACTACTCGAAAGCCGATGGCCGTGGCCGCCGCAACAAATTTTCGGCTTGCGCAGGCCGTGGCGGCAGTGCGTGATCAGCTGCAAGGGGGCCTTGGATAGACGCCAGGCAATTGCGGGGAAGAGCAGGGCTGGGGAGGAGCTGCCTCTGCTGGTATAGAGAGGGCGTGTGGCGACAGATGACCGTGGATGCATGACATTCCGGCCATTGGCTGTCGCCTGACGACGTCGTCGGCTAGGGCCTCCAACGGCTGCAGGTGGCGAGCCCAGCGGTGCATCGAGCGCGAGCGTGTCGTCTGGATTCTGCTGTGCCACCCACTGTCGCGCGTGTTTTCTTTTTTGCGAGGTCGAAACAGGCGCCCGGCGAAGACGCCTTAGCCAGGAACCGTGCGAGTGCCTGGTGGTGAGGCTTGCGAGGGGGGCGCCGGGCAGCGCTGCACGACGCAACGTGACGGCCTGGCGGGCATCGGTTGGATTGCCGTGATACGACTCAATCGCCGGCGGCTGTGGTCAGCTCGAGCAGCCTGACTAGCAATGGCAGTGTTAGTGTGCCCGGATGGAGTCGAGTCGAGTCGAGTGGGTGGTGCAGCAGGGTGGGGGAACAGCAGGCTGTGTTGCATGCCTTGCCTTGCCTGGCCATACCACCGCATAGTATGCCGCCCCCCAAAAAGCAACAGCAGACAAAGAAAAACAGGCGACCGCCGCCAGCAATCCTGGCCGTGGTGCGAGGCGGAGAATGCACGCAGCCCCGCAGCTGGCATGCACGCCGTGCGACGGTATCCGACTGTGTGCCCATGAGCGTGTGCGTGTGCGCGTGGTGGTGCGCGTGGTTGTCAGAGGAACGCGGGCGGACAGGGCAAACAAGAGGCGCGCGCGTCTTGTCATGGCGATGAGGGCGCTCAATCGACTCTGCACCACAACCACCTAAGCCCAGACGGGTCACGGCCATGGCAGATGATCATCCTCGGGATACTGCTGCTGATGCGACGGCCGCAGAGCTGTCGTCGGAACTGACGCGCATCATCGCATGCCCGTACCCTCCCTCGCTCTCGGTATGCCACTCCCGCCGCACGCTTGCTCTGCCTCTGCTGGGCACGTGACCCGCCCCTCCCCTCCAGGTGCATATTGCATCGTCATTGCTGGGCTGACACGACCTCTCACAGCCCCTCTCCCGCCTTCTGGCTCGTGCCAGCATACCGATAATCCGAGCATGCATCCACAACCGCCCGCCCTGCGCCGTGAGCAGCCTCGCCAGGATTGTCCGCGACGCTCTGCCTCTGGCTGCTTACACGCTGCCTGTGCTGCATCGTTTGTGTAAGCCACTGACCGCTTGTTATGGACTGAGTGCCTGCCAACGCACACCGGCTGACTGCCTTTGCTCGTGCAGGCCATGCACCCGACTTTCGAGACCAGTTGCTGATCCGCTATCCCGGCCTGCTCAACGGCCTGCTCGAAAGAGCAAACTCATCCAAGCACGACTTCAATGATGTGGGTACACAACTGGCCTCCCCCCCCCTACTCTGCTAACCCAATGTCCAGCTCGCCGACCTCTGTGTGCTTCTTCTGTCACGCCCGTTGCCAGACGCTGTTCCTTTGCCGGCTGCAGCTCAGACTTTTCTGCTCCATGTCTTTGAAAAGGCTTCACATAGCCCGAATCCACACTCTCTCAAGTCGGTATACTGCATGCTGAACGGAGCATGTGGACAGCTGCACCGTCTCCTTCCAAGTAGCGCCAGACGACGCTTCGACACCGAGCTATGCCGCATCCTGCAGAACAACGTCTCGGGCGAGTCGGCCATGCTGCTGTTGTGGCTGTGCGGCATAGTCATGATCGTCGAGCACCCAGAAGGCCTCCAGCGTATCCACGCCTCCAATGCCAGTGAACAGCCGGTATCCACACAGACCCTGACCCGGCAGTGGCTAACCCCCTCGGGCCAGAAGTTGTTTGGCTCTACCAAAGACCTCTACAAGAATATGCAAATGACATGCCTGAATGTCCTATGGCTTCTAAAAGCCCATGGCGACGAGGACGATGCAGCCCACGGCTTACGGATTGCCTCCCGAATCATGCAATGCATCGACAATGACATCCGCGACAGTTGGCTCAAGCACGAAAAAGGTGCAGCACTGTTTGAAAAATGCCGCTCAAGAATAGAAGAGGCTGATGTTAGTCCAACGACCCATCTGGAGGCCTTGTCTTTCTTTGGTCAGCTTTCGAGCTCGAGGACCTTACCGCAAAGTATGGTGAAGCGATATTCATCATGCCTTTTTGGTGCTGTCTGCACAGCGGAGCCAGATAGCATCTCTGAACTACTTTCAGTGTCACTCCCAAGATTTGCAGTAAGCATTTCCATCACAGTGCAGACTAGTCCGCTAATCCAAACAGGAACATATCCAAGATATTGAGGAACTGTTTGCCGGGGTCCTGGACGCGTGTGCTGAACAACCAAGCCCCAAGCACATGTCCAACCTGATCCGCTTTGCGGATGAGCTCACCACTGCTACTCTATCTTCTGAAACATTACGAAGCACTGTACTGCATGGACTCTCTTCAAAAACCATACAAGATAAAATTTGGCACCTTGTGCGGCTCAACCCAAAAACTCAAGCCACCAGCTGCTACGCACACGTGGCTTCGCTCCACCGGCAACTCATCGCTGCTACTATTGCCTCTATACTTACAATTACGCTTGCTGCAGAACCGGGAGACCCGACATTGCCTCACGCACTTACCGCTGCCCTTGTCAAGGCACAACGAGATCTACCCCTCGTAGGGGGCGCCTGCCTCCATCCATCTGGTACCACAAAGGATTCGTCAATATCGCTCTTCCAAGCTGCAAACACACAAAACACAGGTCAGCACTTGGAAGACTGGAGTGCACGTCTTGGTTCGGAGCTGGAGAGCCAGGGCAGGTACCAAAGAGATGCCATCCTGCGTTCTGTGACACAAATTTGTAGTGACCTCGAAACGCGCTGTAACACAGTCGAAGAGCCCCTCCGGAGGGAGAAGGAGAGGTCTTCCGAGCTTGAAGAGAAAATCTGCCATCTCACTGATGATCTCGAGTCGATGCGCATACAAAACGAAGACTCTGTGGAACAGCTAGAAGGGCTAGAAAAGGAACTTGAGGACGCGAGAGAAGACATGGACCGACTAAGACAAGAGAAGGAGCGAGTATACTCTAGAGTTCAGGACTTGGAGAGTGTTCTCGAGGAGTCAAATCTCGGCGCCAATGAGGCGTTGAGTGCCGCTCGCGAGGCTTTCAGCGCAAAGGAACTGGTGCTTCAATCGACCATTCTCCAATATGAAGAAGACTGTCGCAACCGCGACTTGGAAATACAGCAATTGCAGGATACTTTAAGCGAGCTGACGCAGTCCAAGGCCCAGTGGGAGAGGGACCATAAAACACTCGCCAGGGAGCACGAGCTTCTTCAGCATCGCTGCAATGATGCAGAAGAGATGCTTGGACAGGAACGCGCACATGTTTCCCAACAAAACGACGATATTGCACGTCTTGAGATCCTGGTATCAGAATACCAGAATCAATTCGAGGAAAAAGAAGCACAACTAGCAGAACTTTTTGAAGAATTAGATGCAGCCCGAAGCGCGCATGATGAGCTGCAAGAAGCTTCAGACGCCAGAGTTCGAGACCTAGCGGCCCAGCATGCCAGCGATATAGAGGCAGTCAATGCGAGAGCCGATCTGGATTGCAAGACGCTTGAGGATCAGCTACAGGATGCTCTGCAGGACTACGAACGAGAAAGGGGCGAAAATGAAAAGTCGCGCGGTAAAATCGACCATCTTCAGCAGGCCATTCCACCGCTCGAGTCGCGGATACAAGAGCTTGAAGACTTTTGCAAAGAGCAAGAAGAAGAACTCGAGGAGCGCCGAGCTATCCACAGGAACGTATTGGCGCATTTTGGTGTTTCGTCTCAGCAACCACTGGCTGTTCGTTCTGCTTCTCGATCCTACAAAGACATTGCCGCGGAGCCCACCACACGCGAACCACGAACCCAGCGGCGGCGGAAATCAGCCTTCATTGCCCCGGATACCACACCCCAAGCTACAGAAAGTGACTTGGCTGCACCAACCCCAGCTACAGAAAGCAAATCCAACGCATCCTCCGAGTCATCCTCGTCGCAAACCAGAGCCCCAATACCCAAACGCTCTAGACCACGTTCAGCTTTCAAGGTCCCCACTATGCACACGCCATACACGCAGAAACCCAATCTCATCTCTAGATCTGCCTCGGGCAGGATCTCACCAAGCAAGCGCTCAGCGTTGCGCCAGATGTCGCCAAACCGCCGGCATACCGTTGGCTTCTCGACAGCTGAACAAGAAAAAGATGACTACACTACAGAAAGTGCACCTGCGGGGACACAGAGTGAGAGTCTCGCGGATATAGATCAGACGGATGAATTCGATACCGATGATGAACTCTTTTCGGGCACGCCACTTACACCGGGGTTTATGACAGGGACCGGGAGGGTTCCGGACGAAGATGAGACGACAGCAGTGACGTTATAGAGGTCTGCTGGCGTATATTTCCGCCAGTCAAACTTCCGATATTCCACAGACACCCATCACTGCCGCATAGATACATATGTAACAATTGATCGACACGATTACCAACCGGTGTGAGGAATGCATGTACTCGCATCTTGTGCCCATTACAGCCGCAGAACCAGGCACTGTCGGTAGTTAGCCGCCGAATATGTGTAAAATAGCAATGGATTTGCAAATCAAACGTCTTACCAACCTCATCACAGCAACATTGGCATGATGCGTCCTTGATATTGAAGAAGCAATAACCGAGTAGCACTTGGACGAGCGTAGAGCCAAAACAGAGTCCCGGAATACCGAAAATCGACAGCCCGGAATCGTTGCGAGCTATTACACGCGTCTACAGGAAACATGGGACCCCAACAATGATATGCAGCACCGGATTGGCCAGCGCCGCACTGGGGCCCCCAACGCCTCGGCAAACCTGCCTTGAATCGCCCATGCTGTTCGCAACGACATGGCACCAGAAGGGCACAGAGAGGCGAGACACCAACGTACACCCCACTACATGGCCGTCTGTGAACGCGTGCCAATGGCTCGTTTAGGCGGAGCTCCAGCTCTTGATTTGTCTGGGGTGGTGTGGGATGTGTGCGAGCGGAGACACGGAAGCTGGAGGAGTCGAGTCGTCTGCCCAGCTTATCGACTACTAGCACGAGTATCATGGCTGGCGCTTGCTGCTCCGTGGCTCTAAGGTATATATAGGCCTCACTTGCGATGTTCATTTTGCATTTGCTCCTGTAAAACATATATTTCCCTTTTTACTCGATAATCTTCTCTTTTGCTACATTGCCACACCATGTCGTTTGACACCGAAGTCCTGATCATCGGCGCAGGCATGAGCGGCCTGGGCCTCGCCGTGCAAATTACGCGGAACTACGGCATCAGGAACTTTGAGCTGGTTGAGAAGAGTGAGGATGTCGGTGGCACGTGGCTGGCAAACACATATCCTGGCTGCGGATGCGATGTGAGTTCTCCATAACTTCGACACGGCATACATTCCAGAGTTTTTATTGACAAGAGGTAGGTTACTTCGCATTTCTACTCGTACAGCTTTGCGCTGAATCCAAATTGGAGTCGCAAGTACTCGATGCGGCCAGAGATCCAGGTGTATTTCCGGTCTGTGGCGGAGCAATACCGTGTCGTGGAGCATGTGCGGTTTCACTCCATGGTGGAAAAGGCAGTGTGGAATGAGCTTGACAGTGTGTGGGAGGTTACTGTTGTGAATTTGACGACGAAAGAGCGGATGGTTCGACGTGCAAAGATATTGGTTTCGGGTGTTGGCTCGCTGTCTGTGCCAAAGCCTTGCGATATATCAGGCGTTGAGCAGTACAAGGGCAGGCTGTTCCACTCTGCTCAATGGGATCATAGCTTCGACTGGAAAGACAAGGACGTTGTTGTTCTTGGTACGGCATCCATCTGCTTACTGTCATTTACGTGCTAACGAAGCAACAAGGCAACGGCTGCTCAGCAACCCAGTTTGTCCCTATCATGGCCAACGAGCCAAATCCCACCCGCAAGCTTGCCCAGTTCGCACGGCAAGCACAGTATCTCTCTGAGCGCGAGAACTCGCACTACTCGGGCACGTTCAAGGCCATGATGCGCTACCTGCCGTTAGCAATGCGTTTGTACCGCGCGAAGCTCTACTACGAAATGGAGCGCGACTTTGGCGCCTTTGATACTGACACGGGGCGCGGTCTACGTCAGATGTTGGCAAAGGAAAATGCGGGCTACGTGAAGAAGATGGCTCCTCGAAAATACTGGGATGCGCTGATCCCAAAGACCGAAGTGGGGTGCAAGAGGAAAGTCCTGGACACCGACTATCTCAAGACTCTGTGGAGAGACAACGTCGAGCTTATTTCTGACGACCCCGTGGACCGCATTACCGAGACGGGCGTTGTAACACAGTCAGGACGAGAAGTGCCAGCCGATGCGATTATCCTTGCAACGGGCTTTGCGACGCAGCAGATGTTGTTCCCGATGGAAATCACTGGCCGTGACGGCATGAGCCTGGGACAATACGTAAGTGGTAATTCTTGCATCTGCCAACAGATTAGAAAATACTAATCAATCCGTCACAGTGGGACAAGACGTCCAAGGGCGTCGCGCAAGCCTACTTCGGCACCGTGGTCCCGCATTTCCCCAACTTCTTCATCCTCATGGGCCCAAACACCGTCACGGGCCACTTGAGCGTCATCTACACAGTCGAATGCCAAATCAACTTTACTCTGCGTCTGCTTGATCCCATCCTCAAATCGCTGCCGTCGTATCGATCGCGGTCTTGGTTTCCACGGGCCCTTGCGCCGCCAACTGCTACCGTCGAGGTCAGGCATGAAGCCGCGATTGCAGACTCGCAGTGGACGCAAGAAGCGGCTAGGAAGCTCGTATGGGCATCTGGATGTGTGAATTGGGCCGTTGACCCCAAGACGGGGCTGAACAATAGTAAGACCGCTGCACAATTGCAAAGCCCACGACTAACGTCTCCCCAGTGATGTATCCTGATTGGCAGTTCCTCTTCTGGCTCAGAAGCATTTTCTGGAAGAAGAACGACTTTGTGTATCGCGAGGAGGAAACGGGGAAGGAATTTAATCCGCGGGCGCGCAAGACGCTCGTGTGGCTGGTGACTGCGGTGGCGCTTGCGAGTGGCGCTTTCCTTGGCCGGGATTGCGTTAACGGTGAAGTGGTGAGGCGTTTTGCGAGGTTTGACGCGCGAGGCATAGTGCGTAGATTGACGGCTTAGAACATGGATGCCTGGGTGAATGTGGGGCGGTGAAGGCGTGGAGTAGATGTACGTGTGGCTGCGTTGGTCACCTCGATATCATCATCACCAACTTTTTCAACCCTAGCGACGGAGGTTTCAGTCTACAGCGTTGAGAAGAATAAGAATAATCAAGAGTCGGAGATGGATACTATAAAGAGACAAAACACTAACAGCGATAGTGTCCATGTACCAAAAAATTGCTCTCCGACCCTGAGTTCACAACAGCGCGATGTCACCGCAGTCGCAGTGCAAGAAAATACCTCGCTAGGCCCGGGCTTTCACTTCACGGCTATTGTCTGAATAACCATGAAGACAATAGCAGTGCCACAATGCATGTTCACCTGGCCGGCTTCGGGGGAGTAGGCATGCATGCATTCCGCTCACCTTCACGCGTCCTGCCCATCCCCATTCATTCATCGGGGGCAAAATTTCCCCCCAAGGCCACAGCAGTCTTTTAGGTATTCAGTCCACCACAACTTCCAGGACAAACTTCTACTACTCATCTTCTGTTTTTTTTCCAAAGTCTTGATTGAACACTCGGCCATTTTAACCAATTGGTCCTCTGCTATCCTCTGAGAAGACAGTATCCAATCATCACCGAAAATGGCAGAGAGTACCGCATTTCCGCCCTTCTCCCCGGCAGTCACCCAAGCGGCAGTCCAGGCTGCAAGTACAGCGTATCCCGCCGACTATCTCATCGAGCACATGCTGAAGCTGAGCCACTACCTGATTGATCTCGCCAACCACAGCATGCTCTTTGGCCCAGCCGGCAGCGATCCCTACAGCCCCAGTCTGCACACTCTGCTTCTCCGCCTGCTGAACAAGCAGCTCGCACCGAGTAGACTACCGACAGGCTTCCTGACTCCAGAGCACACGACCGCGCAGGTACGGCTGCGCAGCGACAAAGAAGCAGCAGACCGCCCGCTCGCCGACTACGAGGACTTGTACTATGCGCTCATGTCCCGCATGCAGGAAATGTACCAGTTGCTGAAGCTCCGCATCCAAAGCGGCTTCAACATGGCATCTCACGCCGTGTGCGAAGACGGGCCCAGCCTCGCTGAGCTGCACGCCAGTCTAGCTCAATACTGGACTGTCTTCAACGACGCTGCGTGCGGCCGGGCGCTGGACAATGCGGTACGAGAAGCGCGTGTGCAAGCGATCCGCGAAGAGGTCGTTCGCCAGGTCGAGATTGACAACATGACTGTGGAAGATGCGCAGGAGCAGCTGGAGCAGCTGTACAGCGCCGACGTGTACAACGGTATTGTCGGGCTGCACTTTGTGCAGGACTGGGCGCCCGCCATGGTCGGCGCGTACCTCGAGCACAAGTACAGGGGCATGCTGGACCTGGAGAAGAAAGACGCAGCTGCCAGGGCGAGGACGCAGCGGCGCCTGGCGAAGATGAACAGTGTAAAGGAAAGTCTTGCCGCCGCTGCCGCTGCTGCTGACGACAAGCTGCGAGTCCAGCGGCACATTGCTCAAGCCGTGAAGAAGACAGCCAGCACCCGTCGAGATAGCCGCCATGACAATCTTTCTCCCACCGTACTCCAAGAAACGACGACGACCACCACCACCACACTATCTCAGTCCTCGCACCACGCCAACCTCCCCAACCTGCACTGCTCCCCAGAGTCCCACGTCCAGCTGCACCCGGGAACCCAGCACGAAGCGCACGCGGCCGCCCTATCCAGCCCACAGCCCGACATGCAGCGAGAGCGAGCCTACCAGGAGCACCTCCACACTCTGGTCGAGTGGCAGATGAAGACACAGCGCGTATCAGAGTACAGCAGTTATCTGCGTGCGCGCGCGAGCCACGGCGCCCAGCATGTTGTCGAGGGCACGCGCCGCACAACCGAGAGTGTGGCTGCGTCTGATAGTGCCGACTTGTTGGCTCCGGATGTGGCCTTGGATTTGGACCTGCATTTGGGTGAGGACATGGAGTTTTGAGGTTTGGTGCGGAGAGAACCATGTGCTGAGATGGATGGATGCATGGATGCATGGATGGATGCATGGAATGCAAGGCGGGGGGGTATATGGGAATTGAGTGCAGCATGAGAGACACTGGATGAAGTACTGGAACACGTACTTGTAGGTATGCAAACGGGTATCCTCAGTACAGTATGTAACTACAGTAGCTACTTTACTTTTTTTTACAGTAGTTCCACGACATGTTCCAACAATAGAATCTCTGAAAAGTCCAAAAATCTCGTTCGTCCCACACACACTCACACTCACACTCACACACACACACACAAATCCCTTCTATTTTTTTTCAATGTAGAAATGATACTCAGTCCATGGATCGAGGATTTTCTACGTCCTAAGCGATGTATTCGGGATCCACTTCAATCACCATGTCCGCCCCGCGCGTCGTTGGTCTCGGCGCTACAAAATGCGGTATACGCCATACGGTGCTGTTGCAGCGCTGCATCAAGCCTGGTTGCGCCTCGCGGCAGTCATATAGATTTAATCGCTGGGTGAGTTGGAGTCAGTCACTATCCCGCTACTTATCCCACTGTCACAATGGTCCCAATCCCCTCACACCAAAGTTAAAAATAAGTACGTACAGTAGGGGGAAAAGGCAAAAAAGAGAAGAGAAGAGAATACATACCTCCAACCCGCCCATCCCCCCAATCCCATCCAGAGCCTTCTCCCCCAACACACCACCACACTCGGCGACCTCCAACACACGCACTCGCCCTCTCCCAATCCACATCTGCAATTCGCACCAGACCTCCTTCCCTAGATTCCGACACCCCTCCAGCACAAGCTCGTCACACGCCGCGCTCTCGGAAACCAGCATACCCAACTGCGCCGTTTCTATCTCCGCATCCTCAAGCCTCAAGCTGCGCAGCCGCCGACTCCAAACAGGGGGACCGCCGTCCACGAGCGTTTTCCACGCGAGGTGCTGCTGTGTGCGCTGCGCGGCGACGTGGGAGCGCGGGACGAAGCGGGTGGGAAGCGGAGTCTGGAATCCCAACGCGAGTGTTTTGAGGGCGTGCAGGGTGCGTAGGGCGAGGGCCATGGGGACTGTGAGCGCCGGAACCTGGAGATGCACGTGTTGCAGCATGGCTGCGTGGCGGTGTAGCACTGTCGATAGCAGCGTGGATTGGAACGCCAGCAGGTCGAGGTAGTTGTATTGGCTTGGTGCTGTGATACGGATACACGGCGTGGAAGTGCCATCTTGAATCGCGCGTGCTGGTCTTTTCCCCCCGGTTTCGGAAATGAGAGAGAGTAGGTCGCAAGGGTGGGAGCGTGAGAAAGGGAGGACAATGCAGAGAGAGAGGGAATGCAGGTTTGCGTTTGCGAGGGCACGCGCGTACACGCTGGTTTCTGAGAAGCGGAGGAGGGAGGGGAGTGAGAGGAAGGAGAGGATTTGGGCGAGGTGGTAGAGGACGCCACAATTACAGATACTACTTCTGCTGCTGCTGCTACTGAGAGCCCAGCTCACGGGATTCCTGGCTGGTGGCTGAGAAGGAAGGGAAGGGGGGTCCGAAGAGGATAAGCGAAGAGATGGGGGGGGGGGGATAGGCGCCTGTGAAGAGAGAATTGAAAGACAATGTGGGATTGGAAAGATGGGTGTTTCCGCGGAGAGGGGAGAGGGAAAGAGGTTGTTTATGTATTGGGGGGGTGGCCGGTTTTTTTGGGGTCACCCTGGTTCTTCTTCTCCCGTGGGGAAGGCCTTGGTTAAGTATCTATCAGAAGACTTGATTTTCTGTTTTACTACACAGAGCTAGTTTTCAAACTGGGTTTCTACATAGTGTGTGGTTTAGGGAGCATAGAGACGGGTCATTTTTCCACTCTTCTTCACATCCTCCTCCTCCTCCTCCTCCTCCTTCTACAATACTACAATACTACAACAACATCAACCCGCATATCCCCCCCCCCTTCTCCCACCCCAAAATGTCCCCCCACATCCTCTCACTCCCCACCGAACTAAAAAAAGGTTGCGGGCGTACGCATTTGTAAAACCGCGACGCATGATATGCAGTGTAAGTCCGGCCCCCAAAAACATAACACATGGGCGTCGGATGAAAGGGCGGCACACACACTCACACATACACTCACATACAAGACACTTTCACAAGACAAAGTGATGTCTCTTTTCTCTCTCCTCCTTCTTCTTCTCCTTCTTCCTCTTCCAGAACCAAGAAATGCACCGATATACCGTAGTGCCCACAGCAAACCCACGCATCACCGCTTCAAAAAGACTGCATGCATGCATGCATGCATACTCAGGTTGCACACGCAGTCGCAGTGTATTCTGATCCATGGCGCCGGGTCGCTTGATAGCCCGAGCTGCATATACACCTACACCTACATATATGTATGTACATATGTACAATGCTGAATACGTGCAAACAGCTGAGATGCGGCACGGCAAAATACGTACGTGGGTGGGTGTTTTCCACCGCGCCCTGCCTCATCTGCCTGAAAGTCGTGCCATGTGCGATGTGCGTGTGGAGGGTGGGGAAAGAGTCATTAGAGAACGTGAGGGGTTTCAGTTGAGAGAGACGTTTGAGCATGCGCAGGTTATAGACGCAGGGTTTTTGGTGGTGGTTGACTTAGTTGCGGCCAGGGGGGGGGCGTGGATAAGTTGTCAGCGGGTCCGTCTTTGTGCGCACCTGCATGTATGCACGAGAAGCCTAGTTCTGGCGTCTTGTGACTAGCAGAGACACAAAAGGTCAAGCATGCATGTGCGCAGGTGTTGGGAACAATGGAACATGTTGCTTTCGGCCCTCTGCATTGGGGCGCGATTCTCTTCTTGCTACCATGGTTGGATGCTTGCACGAAAAGCATGCCTTGCGCTTCGATATGTGGCGTCAGTACAATTCCGAATCCGGATCCATCGGGTCTTCAGCATGCTCTCAGCCCTCTCCGCCAGCACCTCGCTCAAAGACTCTCACGCTTCCATCGCCTTTGACCTGGTATAGAAATTCTTTTCCTCTTCCGCTGTCGCCGCCTTCTTTGGGCTCATTATCACCAAATCCCAAGTCTAGCCACTCGTGCTTCTGCTCCGTGATCCGTATGACACCGCTCACGTCTCTTGCAACTCCCGTGTCCAGTATCCTGACCCCTAGTATCCTCCTGCTCATGTGCGCGCACTTGACTAGTAGGTTGTGATGCGCCAGCTCGAGGGGTTGAGGCGGCGCTGAGAGGCTGAGGAGCGGGTTATCGGATTGTATGTGGGTGAGAATATGCGACACAGTTGGTATCGTTTGGAGCGTGAGAACAAGGGACGTGAATCGCGAAGGCGTGATGGAGGGGTTGAGCGCGAGAAGTAAGTCTGGATTGTCGAATATGAGGAGCGTCTTGCGTTGGACAGGAGCGGTAGTCAGTGCCGAGACGGCGCTGGAAATGGTTGCCTTTACATCGTCAAGCTCAAGAGACTTCAGCGTGTAGTGACCAGAGGTATTGCTGCTTGCGCCAGTCGTCTCCGCTGTGGTAGTCGTCGCTTGTGGTGATGCAGGCGGTCCTCTTGCAGGCACTATTCTCCCTGGCGGGCCTCGTGCCGACAGCGTCTGCAGCCCTCTCTGCGCGTGTATCCCATTCGATGGCGCGGCTGATGCTTGTCTTGCATCGCTTGTCGCATCTGACCCAGCGCCCAGTCCGTCGACAAAGGCAAATCTTCCCTCTTTCCTGAGTCGCTCCAGATCTAGCGCGGCACTTTTCCTTGACTCTTGCTTCCAGAACTCGTACGGTCTCATCCACGAAACCAGCACCACATTGTGGTCCTCTTCCCCGCCACCACGGGCTGTCGCTGTGCCCAGCGCAGCGCACAGAAATCGTATGAGCAGCCAGTTCGCGCTGGCACCGAGAGTACTTGTGACAAGAGTGAGTGACTCCTCACGAGGGAGCTCGGCGTATGGTTGCAGCAGAGGTGGAATGCGGCTGGACGGTGGCATCGTGACGCATGCTGGTACAAAATTATGAATGCGCACAGGGTTAGTTTGGTGTTTATCGATAACTGCCATCACGTCACCCCGCGTCTGCAGAGAAGAGCCTCTAGACCAGCATCCGAGAGATGATCATAATGATTTTCATTTATTTCCACGATATTTACTCGCTTTGATATTCGCGGGTGATCTTATGTAGCCTGCATCCGCTAATGAGAGCACACCTAATAAGCCATCCATGTCGACTGTATTCGTCTGCCTTTCCAAATCACCAAGGACTAGATGATGGCGTCGGCACCAACTTGTTTACTCCCACCTCGTTTCTTAACAATAGGTAGTCTAGAAACTGGTCAGAGCAAGCTTGCAGATATACCCTGTGCACCCGGATCGTCCTCGGCAGCGTCCGAACGCTCCTTCGTATTTTCAGATGTTCGGGTACTTTCAGTCAGCTTGAGCGCTGGAAGGCTAAAGTCCAGGTCCAACAACTCTCCATATTGCGTGATTCCAGCTTCCGTCTCCACAGTTCCGACGTCGGCTTCAGCATGAGCTGGGCGAGAATGCTTCTTCTGGCGTTGCTGGCTCTGGATCCCATTCACCTGGTAACTCGTGCTGCCGCCTGTAGCGATCTTGCCAAGCTCGCCCGGAAAAAGCCAGGGAAATGAAATCAACGGCATATGCTCTGGGTCCTTGATGTGGCAAGGTTGTTCTTGGCCCCCAACAACCTTCGTCTTGCTGCACTCGTCCAAGGCACTCTCCATCTCGCGGGCAGTGACTGTGTACATGGCAGCGACAAACGGCCCTAGCCGTTCCCAGTCATTGCCATCCTTCAACTCTGCAGCATCGCGACACTCCCCACGATATTGATGCTTCAATGCTCCCACGGTCCTACCGAATTCTTCTGCGAATTTATAGTCTCGGCTCTCATGGTTATGTCCTAGTACAAAAACAGTCCAGGCCTCGAACTCAGTCTGGATACCATGCTTGGCCATTAGCCGCCGGAGTGCTTCGTCGTAGAGCACTTTGAGATTTGCTGCCTTGTTCAAGAGTTCCTCCTCAAGGTCATATGCATTAAGAATTCGCCTGTCAAATGGGTTCTCCCATAGAGGCTTGAAGTCGACAAGTTGTACTTCATCAAAGAGACGACCGAGGATATTCCTAGAGTGATAAACCTGGTCTGCACCCAAGTGCTTCTTCTCCATAAAGTGCGGCCACCTCTTAGGCTTGAGATCACGTCTCATCTCAGCTGGTATCCCGCTCTTGGGAAAGTCGACTGCTCTTGAATGCAGCTGCGCCAGTTCGAGACATACTGCACTGCCAACGCCGTCGCTGTTCCAGTCGGCTTGTGCAAGATGGGCATGCGCAATTTGGCCGAGAGAGTCATTCTTCATGTAGGTGACGAAGAACTCGCTCATATCCACTGCCGTGATAGGCTTGTCCGTTTCGAATGGCTTCTCTGGCTTGAAGTCCATGGGCGGGACATTGATAATCTCTGGGATTATATCGCGATCCCACAGAACCATGTAGTCGTCTCCATCGAGATCTCCGCCAGAGCACATGTTCGCCAAGTCCCGATCCCCGGTTTGAGGCAAGACCACGACGTTCTTGAGATGATGAAGTGCTGGTACGTTCACTGCGCGGACTATGCGAACATCTCCCGGATGCAACGATGGATTACGTGCCAGTATGCACACGCCTTCGACGATGATATAGTCACCTTTCTTGCTGGTGTCGTCGACTTGCAAAAATATCTCAGGGAGAGTTGCAAGCTTTTCATCTCTTGTGGCACTCTGCCTGCATTGAGGATCGTTCCTGTGCCCTTTGAGTGTCGAGGTCTCGTCAACGCAACCGAGTACAAATGCCCCGTCGTCAATAGCAATTCGTGCCTTCTCCTTCAAATTCTTAATGGTACAGGCCCTCCAGAGCGTAAGCAAAGACATGACAAAGGGCTCCTGAGATTTCATGAAGCCATCTAGAACCATGCTGGCAATTGTAAGGGTCGTCTGATTCATATCAATATGCTTTTTCAGCTTCTGCAAGGCCGCGCCTTCGTCGATCATTGCTCTTGCATAATCGTTCATCATCTCCTGTTGCTTGCGGAGGAAAATTGCATCCTGGACCCCAAGATACGAGAGCACGACAATGATTTGGCGGTTGAAATAAGGCGTCGCGAGATAAGATGATCGGATAATCTCAAGACCAGTGTACGGCGCCTGGAACTTGTATTGACTCTGTCGGATGTGAACCTCCTTGCGGTTTAGCTTCATGTCTAGGGCAAGGACACCTTTGCAACCGCCGAGACGAAATTGGAAGAGTGTGGGCGGGTCTGTGAAAGCATTGGGTAGTCCGAGTTCCTGAGCAGCCATCTGAGCCAGGAAGAATGAGAGCTTCCCGACCCCGTCCGTGAAGACGTAGCCGTTACGCTCAACATCTGGGATCCTTTCAAGGTTCACAGTGACTCCCATGGCGCGTGTTGTGGAAAAGCATTGGCCTAGACGCGCTGCAAACTTGGAGACGGTTTTGATATGGTCGAATTGGCCGAGAGACAAGCGAATATCATCCGCAGACTTGGACGATGTCGGCGCATAGAAATAAGCGCCATGTTCGCGGAACTGGGAGTTGCCAAATGCCAGAAACTCGTATTTCCTGCCAGCAACGACAATGCCCTTCTTCATTGCGCGAAGCACCCTATCAAACATGGCATCAGCCTTGCCATTTGGCAAGGTGCGCAGTTGACCTTCATTCTTCTCGTCTGAGAATCGTACTCGAATGAAGCGATCCGAATCTGCTTCATGCTTGCGGATGATGCGATTAGACGTCTCCATTATGGGCATCGAAACGTGCATTGTGGTTGGAGTAATTGTAACCGCTCGTTGGAGGACGCAATATTTTGGTATCTTCCTTTTGCAGTTCTTGAATTGGATTCCAAATATCTCCATTGGATCATAGTAAGTATGTTGCCTGTCAGCAACCTTCTCCAAGAGACACACAGCCTCCTGGCTTTCAAGCGATTCCAACTTCTGCAGGAACTCGATGGTGATGTTATGCTCTCTAAGATATCCGTTCGAAAGGCAGACTTCAAGTTGATAGCGTACGGGGAAGTTCAAGTAGACTTTGGTTGTTGAGAGGTCATCAGAGGACAACTTTCTGGACCCAGAGGTGAAATCGAGGTGCGGGTGGGTGCCGTGTATCTCTTCCTGTAGCAGGCTCCATAGCGGTGATGCCATCTTCGGTCTGATAGCGTATCGACCGACAGTCTCAATCGTGACTCCATGATCAGCAAGCGCATCACTGAACTCTTGGAATTGTGGTCCGGCCAGCGTTGATCTGTCGAAGACGAGGCGGTAGTTGGTCCACTGGCCAATGTCAATGATAGCCGTGTCCTTGTGGTTCATCAGTGGAAATTGCTGAAAAGCGTCTCCGACTGTGCGGCTGACGATGTCAGTCGCCCGATGCCAGGTATCCCAATCTTTCCAGATCTTGTCTCTGGTAGTAAAGCTTGTGTACTTTCGGCCGCCGCCCAACTCTTCACCCTCTCTCTTCTGCATGTAAAATTGTGGCGGCGAGTCGCACGGAATGACAATGGCGGGCTGACCAGTGCTCTCATCCTCCGTCTTGTAAACATGCGAGATTAACGAAATAGGCAAACGAAAACAAAACTTGCGCCACTGATTGTCGATTCGAATCGGAAATTCGATCTCCAGATCTTTACGCCTCAAGTGCAGCGTCATTTGAATGTCCTTGGACGACTCGGTACGCATAGCAAGCATGGCCATGTCTGCGACCCTTGTGCCAAAATCGATCCTCTTCGCAAAGAGTGTGTTGAATTCGTAGTACCGCTTCGTGGGATTTGTGGGACTGGGAATAGTAGCCAGAAGCGAGTTGCGCAGCTCGGACCGTACGACTCCGTCACCAATGCGTAAGTTTTGCTGTGGAATAGGCTTATGAGGAGGGGGTCTGACTTCAATGTCAGATATCCGCTCTTTGAGTGTTGGTTGAGAACGTACCGAAACACTACGAATGCATTGCAATCGCGACTGTTGGGTTCCATGTCGATTTTGAAAACGTTGCCATATCGTGACATTGCTTGATAGACCTCCTTGGTCCAGTAGTTCTTGCGGATACCATATAGCTTGATTTTGACTTCCTGGCTATGGGCCCAGTTTTTAGCACCACCTGCTAACATAGGCCTCTGTCGGTTACGCTGCATATCTTGGTCGGACGACTGAGGCGACTCAGCCCTGAACTGGGGATTGAAGGTCCATTTTTGGTCTGAGCAATTGGTACTGCCTTGGCTGTTGGAGCTATTACCGGAGCTGATGGAGTGCGCTCGTCTGGCGTTCTTACCGCCACGAGAGCCTCCTCGAGCACCGCGCTTGCCGCTGCCATAACCACCACGCATACTGCGGTCTTGCAAGGATCCTTTGGCTTTGGGGCTTGTGTCCGACATGTGCTCGCCGTAGAGCTGCAGTATGGGGCTTTCGGCGCCTCGTGTAGACACCGTGTGTGGCATTCTCTTTTAGAAAAATGGGTAGCAGAATGCCTGCATGATTGAGATATTGGTGGGCAGAGTGTTTTGAGTAACGGCAGCTGCCAGCACGTAGTGCAGTGCCGGCTTGAGGTGATATTAAGATATTTTACCAAAGGGAAGCCGCTAGCCGATATATTGCCATTTCTGCAATTAGAGATCCCTGTTTGTTTGTCGAGATGCTTGCCTTTACTTGGGTTGCAGTAAGGGACAAGATGTTGTGGGTAACGGCGACTCTTTACCGCCAAGGCGAGGAAACTAATCTTGTATGTAGCAAGGCGTGGTCGAGCGGTGGCGAGGCGGCTAGGGGCACCGGAAATTCTCTGAGAGACTTTGAACTTTGCTTTTGGACAGCCTGTCTCACCTGAGGGCAAGGTGACAAAGGGCAGCGGGGATGCGTTTGTTTGCTCGATGCAGCGAAGCAAACCAATGTAGAAACAAGACGTTGGCTTGCAGAAGCGCACCGCACTAGAAATTCGCAATTGACGTGTGCTGATTTTTGGGTCGGAAAACCTGCACTTTTGGCCTCGCGTTGTAACTTTTTGGTGCAAAAATCCCACTCGGTAAGTGAGAGCGAATAGTAGAGAGACTGGAGGGAACAACAAGGCCGGGGGGTGGAAAGTTTGGGTAGGATAGGTAGGGAGGCGTCCAAATGGGGAAAGGCGCAAAATGAGATAAGAAGGAACGATGCATGCACTCGACAGCGTGGCCAGCTTTGGAGAGGGAAGGCGCAGCCAATGCAGGCGGCCTGACGTCACCAAAACAACGCGACTCTGGCAGCGAGGCGGGAGAAAACAGAAGAAACGCGAGACAAGGCGAGATGAGACGTTTTCAACGGAGCAGATGCTGTTGTGGCCGCCCTCAATGCGAGCCAGTCTGTTGCAACACGAAAAAAGCGATGTGCAGGTGAGAGTCGACGGACCCGGAAATCATCAAAGGAGAAACGCGTCGCGAACGCGCTACGTGCCAGCATCGCGTCAGCGGTAGAAAATCAATTAGGGCCCCTTTCCACGACAGCCAACACGTCTATCAATACGCATAAAACACATTAACTCCGTTCCTCTTCAACTTGGCATTCGTGACTTGCAGCCAGACCCTCAGCGCCCAAGCCGCTACTATCGACGCCGCCGCAAACGCCGCATTGCTGCTCATGGCAATGACGTACTTGGGCCCATCGCTCTTGGGATACAGATACGGCGTGTAGATGAAACTCGCCATGGACACGACGTTGACGATAGACAGCGACACGGCTTTCTTTTCGGCGGTCTGGCCGAGGGTGCCGGAGACCCAGCCCAGGATGACCGAATTGACGGAATAGACGCCTGTCAGAGGTGGTTAGCATGGGTCGACTACACGTGGGCAGTGACATGTTGGAACGAACCAGATGCAAAGAGGAAGCACGACACGTAGCGCGCGGCGAGATTGAGTGTGGAAGCACTAATGGCAAAACCAACAACAGCGATGCCCATCATGACGGTAATGTGCCATGTCCTGTCGTTGAACTTGCCAGACGAGATGCCGACGCAGATACCGACGGCGCCAGCAACGAGTGATGGCGGGGCTGTCAGAACAAGTGTGATTGTTGTGTCGAAGCCTAGGGATTTGACGACAGTCGGGAAGAACTACGTACGGTCAGCCATCGGAAAGTGCAAAGCCTTGTTGGGTCGCATGAACATACCTGGTTGAACGACGTCGCGCTCAAGTGCATGTTCTGCATGAAAACAAGCAGATAGAGACGAGGGTCCCGAAGAGCCTGCGTAAAACCGGCCCTCACTCCCTTGCTGGGCTCCAGGCCAACAGTGTCCCTCTGGATACGGTCATGCGCCAACTGACGCTGCTCGGGCGTCAGCCACTTTGTCGTCAACGGCTCGTCGGGCAACAAGAAGACGCAAACAGCAGATACGCCAACGGTAACGATTCCCTCGATGATGAACAGCCACTGCCAGCCATGCATGCCATGTTTATCATCCAGCGTGGCAAATGTCGCCGCAGCAATCAGGCCCGCAAACGAGACCGCGAAAATGTTACCAGCGTACAAAATCGACACCCTCGTGGCAATCTCTTTGCGCGTGTAAAACAGACTCAGGATGTACAGCGCTCCAGGGTAAAACGGCGCCTCGACAAAGCCCAGGAAGAAGCGCACCAAGACCAGGCCAGTGTAGTTCTTGACCAGCGCTGTGAGAGCCGCTACACAGCCCCAAACCGTGCAGCACACCGCCATGTAGACCGACGGCCGCACTTTGTTCGACGACATGAGCATGTTGCTGGGAATCTGCGCGAAGAGGTATCCCACGTAAAGAATCGATATGCACGTGTTGTACTGGCTGCCAACGAGCCCGAGGTCCTTTTCAAGTCCGTTGAGTCGTGCATTTGCGATCGCGTTCTGGTCGAGCTTGTTGCTTCGATGGTATTAGCTATTTGTTGAACGAAAAATTTTGCATTCGACGTACAGAAAGTACATGCAGAACAGCGCCGGCATGACGCGCATGTCGAGCTTGCGCACGAGGGCAATTTCAGCTGGGTCCGTCTTCGCAATCGCACCGGTATAATCGGCACCAGCAAGCTCGTCCTTTGAGCCAAGATCCTTCTCCAACGTCGCTACATCGTCAATCTGGAGCGGAATATTCTTCTCGTTCTCGTCCACATGGTGTGTGGTGGTGCCAGCCATGTCCGCTGTTTATCCCAAAGAAGAAGCCGAAAAAATATATTACAATGTCGATTGTGGCACACCTAAGCCATGTACCGGAAAGGGCAAAGAGTGGGTTGGAAACACGACGACGATAGACGATGCAGCCGGCAACCTCTTGTCTATATATCCAAGCTGGACGAACGTTGTACAGAAAGTCCTTGTCATAGCTTCAGCCCGCACTTTACCCCGGACTTTCCCCAGACCCCAACTTGAATACCAAGGCGCGGGGCGGACATGAAGTGAGGAGTGGCGGGCGCTCAAACCGCCAATTGTACGAGCTTTGAAGGGAATGGCATTGGCTGACAAGAATGCCGGGTGCGCCTCCAAACAAGTGTCTTGCGAGTCAACAGCTGAGGCGGACAAAGACAAGTCCGCCCGCGCTTGAGTCAGGAGAGATGCAGTATTAGCGTCGCCACTCCAAACCCACCCAGCCTTCATCCGCGTACTGTTGCCGTGGCCGAATATCCGGGGCGCACCCCAAAGCGTTTCCCCGTGGGGCATGGCCGGACGATGTCAAGTCCACGCTGTGCTCTGAGCGAACACGCGCTCGCAGACGAAGGGCGTACGGTTGGAGTACGACAGGTGATCTACCCAGGATCACCGCTCAGAATTGCTTTGCTCTGCATCTCAAAAGTGTTTATAATGCACACTTGGATCCCCAGTTTCTTGTCGTCACCAAGCCCATCAACCCTTACTACCATCTACACTTTACACTTGCATCAGTAAAACACCTCTTCTTCAATCCATCACTCGCATACTCCAGATCAGCACAATGGGTTCCATGCCTGAAGTCAAGAAAGCTCCTCAGATTGACCTTGCAGGTCTTGTCCCAGCGCCAGTTACCCCATTCAACAGGGATGGCTCGGTTGACTACGCCGCCATCCAGCGCCTGGGTTCATGGCTCGGCAGCATTCCTGGCGTCAAGGGACTAGTCGTTCTCGGACATGCCGGCGAGGGTACTTTCCTCACTCAAGAAGAACAAGTCGAAGTCATCAAGGCCTTTGTCAAGTCCGTTGACAACAAGATCCCCATCATCGCGGGCATCACGACCGAAGGCACAGAAGTAGCAGCCCTCGAAGCTCAACGCGCAAAGGCCGCAGGAGCACAAGCCGGTCTCCTATACCCCAGCCACGGCTGGCTGCGCTTCGGATACCAGCCAGGTGCCCCACAGGACAGGTACAAGACTGTGTACGAGAAGTCCGGTCTGCCTCTCATCCTGTTCCAATACCCAGACAACACCAAGGCCACATACAACCTCGACACACTGCTCGAGATCGCCGCCCAGCCCGGCGTCATCGCCATGAAGAACGGTGTCCGCAACATGCGCCGATGGGATGTCGAGATCCCCATTATCAGGAAGCAGAACCCCGACCTGACCATCCTCACATGCCATGACGAGTACCTGCTCCACACATGCTTCGATGTCGACGGCATGCTTGTCGGATACGGCAACATTGCTCCAGAGGAGCTGCTGGAGATGATCGATGCCGGAAAGGCGAGAGATTACCCCCGCGCACGAGCTGTTCACGACAGACTGCTTCCCGTTACCAGGAACGTGTACCACCGCGGCTCGCACATGGAGGGCACAGTAGCGCTGAAGCACGGCCTGGTAGCGCGCGGTATCCTGGAGCACGCCACAGTCAGGAGTGGACTGCTGCCACTACAAGATGGCGCCGAGCAAGAGATCCACGCTGCGTTCAAGTCGGCGTCGTTGGGCAAGGTGACACCGCCCAAGTCGAGTTAAGTTAGTGTAGACTAAATAGCGTCCCATGTTCAAATTTCTCAATTCGTCTTCTTGTTATGGCTCCCCTGCTTTCATCGAAAATTCCCAGTCTGATATGCCATGTTTCCTGCAGAGCCGACTTCTCCACCCCACCAATAGTCCAGGTCTTCGCCGTTGAACAGGTGCATGATCTCTTCGTTTGGCAGCGGGTTATCCGAATACTGCTGCGCGATGCCGAGGAAGTTGCCGGCGCCCCCTAGGTAGTCGTATGTAGGATTGTTGGCGCCTAGGACGTCTCCAGCATTGCCAGTGGGAAAGGTCATTGTTCCCACGTTGTTAGTAAAAGCCGCTGGATTAGGATCGGGATGCGTGTGAACGGCATGGCGAGACATGAGCCTAGTGTTTGCCATTATATCTGTTGTTTCGTGATTTGGCATCGAATGCAATACCACTGTCTGTTGTTCTGTAATCGCTTCATCTCTTGGACGGGTTGTGTGACGAGCATCAAGTAAAAGCGACGTCTCGCCAGGCGGATGGCTTTCGCGTCCCGCCGCAGCACCAGGCGCAACTGTAGAGCTTCGCGTTGACGGTTTGCTCAGCCGCGTTGTGAGGTTCTGGATGGCGATTATACAGGCATCGGGCCAGCTTGTGCCTCTCAGCGCCAGGTGCTTTAGAATATGTATGCTCCGATTCGAAAGCCTCATTGCAATGTCTCGAGTAACCTGGCCTTCTGTCGCAGCCGACAAGATAACGAATGTGCTCATCCATACTGCCCATGTGAATGAAGGCCAAAGCAGGGGAGTTCGTTCGTACCCGTGTTGGCCAGGTGAGCCGTCAAATGCACCGAAACCGCGAAGCGCTTTGTGCAGAGTGTTGATGATGGAACGCGAAGCCGATATGCATCGTTGCAGTGCCACATTATATGCTGCATCTTTCTTTGAAGTCGCCAGCACGGAGCGATGCAGCGCGAGAATGGATTCGAAACGAAGGACAATGAGCGTGACTTGATGGGTTTTGGATATCGTCTGCACTTGGTCCTCGTTGGAGAGGTATTCATCAACCATGTTCCACCATCTGGTGTGCTCTGCTTCCATTTCCAGGGCTTCTTCCGTCTCGTTTGCACTGCCATGCAAGAAAGATCGGTGCCGCGTCTGCATGATAGAGCCACGGATATCAGCATGTCGAGCTAAAAAGTCTAGCAAGTCTAGCCGATTGTCGCGCTCACCATCTGTTGAAGAGTAAGCATCTGTGTATTTTGAGTAGACAGTTGTTGAAACACACCCTTTCCTTGATGCTCACTGTCGTGATGTCGCTCGCTATGTGGATAGCACACGTTGATCTCGTCCGACCGTATGCCAAGCGGGGTTCCCAGTCTGATGCAAATATGTCTATCTATGCATATTACAGACCAAAAGAGCCGTTTCCTCAACTCGACTTCTTTGTTAGGCACTGATCGTTGCATGGGGCAGCGATGTAAACCCAACTGGAAGGCCATTCGGACTGCTAGTCCTTCGAGACGAGATGCAGCGTTGTATCTGTGCGTTGAAATCAAGAAAAGCTGAATGCTGACCAGAGCCTGCAATGATAAGACCGAACTTTCTTCAGTTAGCACCAGCTGTGTACTTCGTATGGCGTCGTTGAACGAGTGAAACACAAGCTGTGTTGGTACTGGTTTAGTCGTAGTATCCATCTGTCGTCGATCACAGATGGACATCGACATGACTGAGCGGAGTATAATGTATTGCAGCTCGTTTACGGTGGATAGCGTTGCAGCACGTACGCCTCTCTGCACGACTTGGCGGAAGTAGTCCAGTAGTGACGGGGCGTGTAAGAAGGGAAAAGCAGGATGCCAGTGATCGAAATATGATTGGCTCCATTCGAGGAGGTCGTCAAAGATGATCGATGGCGCGATACTTTCTGAGGTTTGCGAGAGGACTTCGTCTGGCCTCCAGAGCCACCTTGATGCGCTTTTGATAGCGCCTGCGGGCAACTGCTCTTCCTCACCAGGCGCGGCATCACTCTCTGGCGTGTCCACAGGCCGGACTGATGTGTGACTTGTGGCGCCATTACCTGCGCTAGATGGTGGACGAAGATTACTAGCTGGACTGGTGCCAAACGTGTTGCGGTTGTGGTCTTGTGGGCTTGTTCCGTCATTTCCAAACTCGCGCAGCTGCTGGCCCATTGTCTGAAGGAACGCTCTGCGTTTCCTGGCACCGTTTGCATCGAATGCTGCTGGGTTATTTTCAGCCTCATTATGGGTCGCCCGTCGCTTGGTGGACGTCACATGAGCTTCCGCCATGACGCGCGAACCAGCGATACCTTCATAGGGTCTACGAAGCCAGCTCCGCACGTAGTTCACGCGATGCCGCGGTGGGTTTCGCCGAAGTCAATGAATGGGATAAGGAGGGGTGGGGACAGGGGTGAATCAGGTTCGCAGGCGGAGATGTCAGCGGAAATTATGACACTCAGGCCAGCCCTGAGGCCTAACAAGGTTAGTGCAGAGGGTGGGGCAGGTCTTGACTGGGGGATGCACTGTTCATGGCTTGGTATGTCGCTTCGTCTGTGAATATGTGGAGAGTCATAGATTTACATGTTCAGAATGTATTATTGATTTTGTCTCTAAAAGTATTTTCGCCATCTTGCGTCAGCAGCAGGGCAAGGCACCGACGCTGGCTGAGCAGGCGAAGGAGCAGAAACCTCTGGTATCTCAGGATACACCTCTGCCGCTGTGTTTTGATGTAGAGAAATTCCTGTGGTAGGCTGCTCCGGAAGTCCCAACATGGGATTTGGGTCGGACAGTCCAGATCCATCAGCAATCGGTTGCCATGAACTTTGCGTCAGCAGAGGCTGTCGTATCGATGCAAGGGCCGAATGTTCAGCACCCGATGGCTGCAGACTCTCGTGGTAAATTGTTCTGGGTGAATCTGTCATCCCCGGACTTGCCGCAGAGGGACTCTGTTGCGGTGCGCGGTCACCATTTGCTTCTGCGGCTTCTGCGACGCGCTCATTCTTTTTCAACCACCAAGCGTGCCGCTGCTCTTCTGTTGCGAGAGGGAAGTTTCTCCATTCTTCGATCTTATGCGACTTGGTCTGCTTCTGGCTATACTCTGCTAGCAGCCGACGATCCCGCTCAGGAAGGCGGAGTGGTTCGATGGGCACCTGAGACTTGTAGATGGCTGAAAGAAGCTCTAGGACCACAATCTCAGTTTCGAGCAGTCGCTGTTCGATGAAAGATATGTACCCCGATGGTATACCTCTAGTGACATGGTTAGGCTGCATCCAAACGACTTGGCGTCAAGGTACCTTTTATTAATCGGTGGGTACCGACACGGCGTATCGGAAGAGCTGCATTGCGAGCATACTGGCAGCTCACGGTCGCACTGAAGATGCCTTAGCTGGTGTTTCCCAACTCAAATGAGGCCAACCTTGGACTTTTTGTTGCGACAGGATTCGCAGGCGATGGGGTGGAATGTACCGGCTTCGTCCTAGATTGTCTCAGCAAACTGCTGAGGGCCCAGATCTGGGGTAACTGGGATTACGTACCATTGCATCGGCGCCTTTGCAGCATGCTGGCGAAAGGGCGGTTCTATCTTCCTGCACTGCCGGACTTGACTTTGTCCTAGCGCATGCGCCCCACTCTGCATCCAGGCGGGGATCACGCGGGGTGATGGCATCTATGTCGGAACTTTGCCGAAAACACGGAACGCGTGGTCGCTATTTATTTCCATTCTTGAAGTCTACATAAGCGGGGGACCGGCAGTAGCGTATCTGAATCGAAAGACAATATGCAAAACAGCTGTGACAAACCACTTTAGTCAATTCACGAGTTTAAAAATATGCCAAGGTACTGTCGGCGACACGGGTAAAGTAACCATCAGTTACATCACTTGAGGTATCTTCCACCACTCCTTGTACTTCCCACCTTGGCTGGCACCACCATTTCCTTGATCTGTTCCTCCACTAGCCGCTCTCAGTCATCTTCATCGACATACTCCTCTACTACCTTCTTGGCCTGCGCCTTATCTACTGCTTTTCCCGCTGTAGTAGCTTTAGTCTCCTTTTTGATAACCACTGTAGTGTCTACAATTTTGACGCCAGCATTTGCCGCAGGCTTTGGAGGTACTCTTTTTGCAGCCTTGGAGATGGGCTTCTTCCCCGGCGTTTTGCGCTTATATGCTGTGGCGACGATGGCGCTGTCAGATGTGTCCGTCGAGTCTTCAGACTCAAAGCGAACAGTCTTATCTAGGGTATGCTGTGTAGAGCCAACTCCTTTCTTCAGTGATGACGGTACTGTAAGCTTATTGCGCTTGCGCTCTGGCGTATAAGCTCGGTCGCCGATGCTTTGTTTGCGTTTAACTGGCGTTCGACGGGTAGGTTTGGGAGCGGCGGCAGGAGCAGGAGTAGGCACTGCTTGAGATTTTTGTGTTGCTGGCATACTAGACCCACGAGGATGGTTGAGTGTCTGCTGTGGAAGCATAGCAGCCATCATTGGAGTACTCTCAGGGCTTTGTGCTGCAGTGCTAATCCCACTCTGTCGCCTTGGGCTACGCTCAAGAGATCTCGCGCGCTCGCGATTGATCTTTCTGGCAACAGGTGATGACTTTCCTGAGTTTACTTGTTCTGCAATCACGCGAGCATCTAGCGCCGCTTTACGTGCCTTTTCTGTTGCAGCGCGAGCCTTCTTTTCTGCCGATCGAGCCTCTTCCATTGCGACGCGGAGTTGATGATCTGCGACAGCTTTTCTGTTCACTTGAGCTCGCGGGATGGTTTTGTGTGGTTTCGTTGGTGAGACGTTCATAGCACGACGAATGTCTGTCGGGCCGTCTGCATCCACTTTAGTATAACATGATGCTGATGAGGGGTGCAGTACTTACTTTGCTTCTGAACTGAGAATTTTTCTAGGAATATCCGAGGCATGGAATCCTTATTGAGCTCTTCTTTCTCACCACCCCTATTGAAACTGTCTACATGTTTTGCAAGTTCTTCTTCTGTGCACAGCCGGTTGGCCGCATCTGCAATCTCCTTGGGTGGCGTCGGAAGTTTGAATCGCGATCCCGACTCGTACAGTGAGAGTTTTTTGTATCGACCGAGCGCAGGGTGATCGAAGGATATATTGGTTTCCACAACTTTGCCGTCTGCTTTCAGCTTCTTTCCAGGTTCCGAGATATCGAAATCAATCTTGAGACTCTCCCAATGCGCTAATTGAAATGTCTCCGGAAAGGGGAGAACAGCTGGGAAATTGCTGTGCCAGTTCTCCGCCTCATTTGAAGGCCCGCCGTAATGAAATTGACGCACGTGTTGTATCTTTTCTTCTACCTTTTGCCCTGTTCTCAGGCTTTTAGGGCGAATATTGTCGGGTAGCTCATCTATTCGGTATAGGGCCGGCGTTGGAGGTGGCGAATGTTGCTCTGAAAGTTGGTCTTCTGAAATTTCTTCTTCATGTTCTAGTGCTGAAACGCCATCTCTTTCTAACACGGTAGAATGAGAATCTTTTCTGGCTCTCTCGAAGGCTGCCAGTTCTTCGCGAACTGCAGCTTGCAAATGTCGGTAAAGCGTATGGTCGAAGTCCTCTCCTTGCTGAGGTAGTCGTTGAACAAGATCGGCATTGATTCTGGCTACACGTTTCATGTACCTCGCGGGAGAGTCATCACCTCCTTCTTCTCTTAAGTAGCTGATGGCTTGCGTCAGACGGCGGTCATTCATCACTTGACGTGATTGCTCCTCGTCGCTGATTGAGATCATTTCTTCAGAGTTCGATGAGTTGCTGAGGTCGAAATGGTAACCTGATGCGGGGTCATTATACTCGCCCTCCATTATGCCTTTAGTGAAGATCTGATGTCTATCTGTGTCGCTACGCATGTCAGCGGATGCCACTCTCAGTCTCGAAGCAAACTGACCGAGTGGATTAGTATCTTGTATACGGAACAGAATGAATTGAACGAAGTAAACTTGCGAAAGATTATCACAGATTCAAGTAATTGTTCTGAAAGATGAATCATCAGCGAGTCTTTGTCATGGCTTAGGACAAAGGTTGCCGAAAGCAAAGGATTGGTGTTTTCCGCATCCGGCTACCCATTTACACATTGCTTGGCCATAGCAATTGAAACTTTTCTTTGTTCTTCTGAGAATTCGCAGCCAGCATAGTACCACCATTGTACTTGCAATAATGGGTATCATTTTTCTGTCACGTGTGGACTGTCGTAAGGGAGTGCAGCATTTTCGCTTTTTCTGTTATGAATTTTCGACGTGCAGCAGCATATCCAAACCCAATATAGTCCATACATAAGCATTGCAGAGACAAACGGGATGTTGTGTGGTGCGACTTGAAGATGTCTGCGCTCAACGTGCAGTTGGCTTGTCGACGCGCCAGCACGTGACTGGCACCTCCGCCCGAAACTCCGATGGCCCAACTTTTTCCTGGTGGGCGATCTCAGTATCCGCAAGCGACAGCAGACCCCAGCGTCGTCCCTTCGCTCCGTTCCCTTCTTGTAGCATTTTGAGGTGTTCAAGATGCGGGTACAGTCTCTTCTCCGGGCGCAATCGCTCGCCACAAGCAGTCTTCGCTGTTCTGCTCGATCGGCCACAAAAGCGCCTGCACGATGCGCTCTCTCGACCATTGCCGCCTCGCGCACCCCATACACCAATGGCTTGAAGACGGACACATGGATTGAAAGCCAGCGAACACAGCAGCAACGCAGATGGAACTCGGTGGCGGCTCAAGTGTATGTGCCCGCAGAGACTTTGCTCCACAATGGCGCGGCAGCAGTAGAATGCTAATTATCAAGCCCAGACTGGAACAGGCCAAAGAAGACCCATCCACCTTGACCCAAGACAAGATTGTTGAGAACCTAAACCCCGTCGAATGGGAGCGCCTTTCACGAGTACGAAACATCGGTATCGCTGCGCACATTGACTCGGGCAAGACCACCGCCACCGAGCGTGTTCTCTTTTACACTGGTCGAATCAATGCCATACACGAAGTACGTGGTAAAGATGCCGTGGGTGCCAAGATGGACTCCATGGATCTTGAACGTGAAAAGGGTATCACAATTCAATCTGCAGCCACCTTCTGTGACTGGATCAAGAAGAACGACGAGGGAAAGGAAGAAAAGTACCACATCAACTTGATCGACACACCTGGCCATATCGACTTTACCATTGAGGTGGAGAGGGCGCTGCGAGTCCTTGACGGAGCCGTCATGATTCTGTGTGCTGTCAGCGGTGTACAAAGTCAAACGATTACAGTCGACAGGCAGATGAGGCGGTACAACATTCCTAGGATATCCTTTGTCAACAAGATGGACCGAATGGGCGCAAACCCCTGGAAGGCTGTGGATCAAATCAACCAAAAACTTCGGATAGCAGCTGCGGCTCTTCAAGTGCCCATCGGACGCGAGGATGGCTTCAAGGGTGTGGTTGATCTGGTCAGGATGAAGGCTATCTACAACGAAGGTTCCAAGGGTGAAGTCATCAGGGAGACGGACGAAATCCCAGAGGACATTGTTGAGCTGTGCAAGGAGAAGAGGCAGAAGCTCATCGAGACACTGGCGGATGTGGACGATGAGATTGCAGAGATCTTCTTGGACGAGCAGGAGCCCACCGTTGCCCAGATCAAGGCTGCCATTCGACGAGCTACCATTTCTCTCAAGTTCACACCGGTCATGATGGGTTCTGCGCTCGCTGACAAGTCTGTACAACCGATGCTTGACGCCGTATGCGATTATCTGCCCAACCCCTCGGAAGTCGAGAATATGGCTTTGGACAAGAAGCGTGCGGAAGCCCCAGTCAAGCTGGTCTCATACAACGAGTTGCCGTTTGTTGGTCTTGCATTCAAGCTTGAAGAGAGCAGCTTCGGACAGTTGACATATATTCGTGTGTACCAAGGCACACTGAAGAAGGGCATGTACGTTTTCAACGCCAGGTCGGACAAGAAGGTCAGGATTCCCAAGATTGTGCGCATGCACTCCAACGACATGGAGGAAGTACCAGAGATTGGCGCTGGAGAAATCTGCGCTGTGTTTGGTGTCGACTGCGCATCTGGTGACACCTTCACTGACGGCGGCCTCGGATACACTATGGTAAGTGGTGTCGGCCCTTTTTACACGCATCAAGCTAATACCACAGACCTCTATGTTCGTTCCTGAGCCCGTCATCTCGCTGTCGATTAAGCCCAAGAACACCAAAGACACACCCAACTTCAGTAAAGCCATGAACCGCTTCACGCGCGAGGACCCCACATTCCGAGTACACACGGACCCTGAATCGCAAGAAACAATCATTTCAGGTATGGGTGAGCTCCATTTGGATATTTACGTCGAGCGTATGCGCCGTGAGTACCGCGTCGAATGCGAGACTGGACAGCCACAAGTTGCGTACCGTGAAACTGTTACCAAGCGCGTCAACTTTGACCACACCTTGAAGAAGCAGAGTGGTGGATCCGGAGACTATGCGCGTGTCGTTGGATGGTTGGAGCCGAGCGAAAACCTGACCGAAAACAAGTTCGAGCAGCAGATTTCTGGTGGAACCATTTCCGAAAAGTTCTTGTTTGCTTGCGAGAAGGGTTTCATGGCTTCTACAGCCAAGGGGCCCCTTCTTGGTCACAAGGTCTTGGGTACTTCGATGGTCATCAACGATGGTGCCACGCACGCTGTCGATTCCTCGGAAATGGCCTTTAAGAATGCTACACAACAAGCTTTCCGCAAGGCCTTCAAGGATGCTGCGCCCCAGGTTCTTGAGCCTCTCATGAAGACTACAATCACTGCGCCCAACGAGTTCCAGGGTTCCGTGGTCGGCCTCCTGAACAAGAGGAACGCTGTCATCAACGACACTGAGATTGGCCCCGAGGACTTTACTGTCTACGCTGACTGCAGTCTGAACAGCATGTTTGGCTTCAGCAGTCAGCTGCGCGCTAGCACGCAGGGTAAGGGTGAGTTTAGCATGGAGTTCAGTCACTACAGCCCTGCGCCACCGCAGCTGCAGAAGGAGCTTGTTGCCAAGTACGAGAAGGAGCAGAAGGACAGGAATGCTTAAGCCTAGTAATGGGCGTGAAGAAAAGACGGTTTGGCGTCGTGATCTTGGTACTGGCATACCCATTCACGACTACGGCGAAAAGGAAAAACAAAACGAGATAGACGCGTATGGCTTGCATATATACGGACGTCTGGCGTATCTATGGGCCAAATGCTGGGTGTATGTAGAATAGTTGTACATGTATGTATATTGTAGATGCCGCGCATGAACGTTTAAAAAAAATGATATCCCCCTCAACAAGCAAAGACTAGTCTACACTTCTCTCTCGTTCCAAGATGAAATTGTTACTCCACATCCAATCCTGGTCTCAGCCTCCTCTTCTCAAACCCCCTCCTGACCGCCAGCGCAACCTGCGACCACCCCACAACTTCATTGTGCCCACCGTACCTCGTAACCTCCAGCTCGATCAGCCGTTCTCCCTTGCTATCCTCCACCTTCTTGTACGCAAATGCACCACGCTTCACGCGCTCCCCGCCATGCACACTGCGCCTCGTCTCCTCAGCCGAGACATCGCTTCCCGCAGCATCCGCGGCGGCGTTTCCGGACGCCAGCATGAGCGTCTGCAGGGGCGCAAACAGGCTCTCGCTCTCGAAATACGAAATGTCCTGGTCGTTGCGGGCGTGCAGGAGGGAGATTCTAAAGCCGAGTTTGCGGGCGGCGTCTGAGGAGATGAGGGCTTCTAGCCGGGCTTGCGTGGGCCACTGGTCCACGATGCGTGAGGCGAGGTAGTTTGCGATGCGTGGGTAGCCTTGGAGGGGTTTGAGAACGGGGATCAGGCCGGAGATGCGGTAGTGTTGGAGGAGGAGGGGTAGCGTGCGGAAGGGGGCGACGAGGACGATGGCGGCGAAGGTTTCGGTGGGAGGTTTCGGGGCTTTGGTGCTGGATCCTGGGGCGCGGGGCCGTACGAGGTCGTGTGGGAGTTCGGGGGAATTGGGGTCAGTATGGTACAGGGCAGCGGCGGCTGTTACTGCTGTACCGAGACTCTGGCCGAGGAGGACGGTGCGGGACACTGGGTGGCTGAGGTTATGACAGACATAGGATACCAGGGATATGGCGTCGGTGATGATGCCGGTTTCGGTGGGAATGTGAGGGGCGTTCTTGAGCGAGGAGATACCGAAGCCCCGGTAGTCGCAGGTCAGGAGATGAGTTTTTGGGATGCCGGAAATTGAACGGTAAGTTGAGGGGCGGTAGCCTTGGGCGATGTGACCGGCATTCTGGATGGCGTTAGGTTGGGTTGTTAAGGTTGGCAGTGAAACAAGGGAAGTTGGTAAAGTGATTATTCTTCACTTTGACCAGATGAGAAGGTAAAGAATGTTGGAAGAGGGCTTGTTGCAGCTTGAGAAGCAGGAAAACATGAAGAAACAGGATCTACTTACCCCATGGAAATTCACCACAACCTTACTCTCGAGATCCATGCTCAGGAGCTTCTCTCCAACCGTCCCCTTCAATCCATCCACCGTCTGACCTACTGCCGCCGCGGTCGAAAGTTCATGTTCATTCTCCAGATAAACATCTAGAGGAATCACATGCCAGCAAAACAGATTCTCATCGTCCGCAGTAGTGAGCCGGAAAGGCTGGACTTGGCCCTCTGGTAGGAAAATAGTCAGTTAGATGATCAAGAAACCATAATTCCGAAATGAGAAAAAAAAATCCCCCTAGAAGATATACAAGAGCCAAGAGCGCAAGAAGAAGAGAAGCTAAAGGACTTACTCGCAAATCCAAATTCCTCGGGATTCGAAATATTATCCATAAAATTCGTATTAAACCGATGCGCATAGAGAGCACTACATTCCGCAAAAAGTCAGTCCCACTACATCTCCAGCCGCAAACCCCCCCCCCCCCCACACACACACAAACACATAGACCCTTGGGGGGGAAAAGAAACAAAGGGAGAGAGAAAAAAAGTGAAAAGAAAAGGAAGGTCGATATATAAAACAACGTACTGTCTCTGCAGGGTAGGACTAATCAACGAGCCAATAAAAACAGCCCATATCATACCCAGGCCCGCAAACGTCCAATATGCTTTTACAAATAAACCCTTCCAGTCGACCATTTTTGCGGGTTTGGTGTGCGGATGGCGCACGTCCGCATCAACTTGGGGTTTGTTATGTATGGAAGGGCCTAGGTAGGTAGGTAGGTAGGTAAAGTAATGACCACGCGGCACTAAGCAATAAGTATACGCCGCCCCGGCTTTTCAAAGTCACGGGTATGTGCCGAGAAGGTGTGAGAAGATGAGAGCGATTCGATGGAAAGGTGGGATTGGGTCTGTGAAAGTCAGAAATCCATGTGTTAGGGTGGGTTTGAGAGAAGATGAGATTATGCGAACAGAGTGGTGCAGATAGGCGGCTTTGTGTTGCGCACGACTAAACCCGGATAAGCAGGCCGCAGCGCGTGTCTTGGCATCGGAGGTGCGCGATGATATCTTCATGGAGGCTATCTTGAAGTCACGTCACGATTGTGTGGCATTCGATTTGTCTTTCGGATGTATATCTTTGACAGAATTGCGATTGTAAAGGGAATATTTGCAGGCATAGTCCTCATGTAATGCATACGGCACGATTGATAGGGTTGAGCAAGCATATTGTTTTAGTAATTGGGTATCATTTGTACTTTGTAGTAATACAAGGCTGTATTTTCCTCCAGGAATCCCGTTTGGTATTAATAATCCTATTCATACACGCACCAGGATTAGTTCAGGCAAAACTCTTCCTAGGTCGTCCGGCCTTTTTCCTCTCGGCTGCAGTGACTACAATTGTACCCATGGCTGCCATGTTGACATCCTGTGCTGGTGTAACAACTGAAGGCGTTCCATCGCCACTTCTGGCCCTTTTCTCTGGTACCTCGTCAGCGTCTCTTGGCAATCTAAATGCCAGATACGTCTCATCGGCCCGCTTGCAACGGTCAAACACCGCATTCATATACTTTTCTACAACATGAGGTGGCCGTATTGAGCGTGGGAGGGCGCTTGCAATCTCATCGCCTTCATCTTTCTCGATGAGCAGAAGGACAGTTACGGGCTGGTAGAGCTCAATGTTGTCTATTTCGTTCATCTCGTCAAAATCCTCAATTCGTTGAGGCGGTTTAGGTGGGACGGCAGGTGTTGACGGCGCTGGGGCGGCGGGTTGTATGGGCGTATGAGCAGGATTTGCATTGTTCGGCGTGGGCGTCATGGCGTTTGGGGGAGTGGGCTCAAGTGGCTGATTCGGCATGGGGCCAGGTGTGGGCGTTGGTGCTGATGTGGGTACTGGTGCTGGTGTAGGCGTTGGCGCAGGCGCTGGCGCTGGCGCGGGCGTAGATTTTGGAGCAGGTGTTGAAGGAGGCTCAGGGGCGGGATCTGCCTTTGGCTTCATCTTGGTGATTAGAAACGACAGCTTCGCGCCAGTGCCATTCGGTAGCCATTCCATGAAGCTGTATGACGGGAAGTAAAACTTGTCCTCGCTTCCATGTACAAAGCTGAAGACCAAGGGACGGTATGTCGTTCTCGGTGGAGGATTGTAGACGGGCACCTGGGGTGGTGGGTGATACTGAGGTGGTTTGCTGTAGTTGTTCGGATATGGTGGACGCGGTTGGTGCATAGGAGGAGCGTGCTGTAGATGCATGGGAGGAGGCGGGTTGTAGGGTTTGGTTATGTTTGGCTGAATCGGCTGAGGCATGGGCTGGACAGGCCTTGGGGGCGGAGGAGGGGCTGTCTGCTTTGGAGCAGGAGGCGGAGGCGGTGGTGCGGGCTTGGGGGCGGGGGGCATTGGCGCAGCTTTTGGTAGTTTCTCTTCCTTTTGACGGGCTAGAATAGCTGTCAACTCGTTGATGTGGCTCTGGAAGAACTCAAGTTGCTCCTTGCTCGCCGAACCGGCCGCGACAATCTTCATGACAGCCTTGAGTTCTGGGTCTGTTCCTGCACGCGCGGCCAGCATGTGAATAACAGGATCTGGCGCTGGCGTGGGCGCTGGGGTCGCGGGCGGCGGAGGGGCTACCTGAACCGGCTTTGGTGGTGGCGGGGGTGGCGGGCGAGGTTGCGGCTTTTGCTGTATCGGCGGACCGTGATGATATTTTGTATGCTGGTTGGGCTGGCCATGATTGTAGTTGTGGTTAGGCCACGGTGGATATGGTGACGGCGCAGGCGTCTTCTTGTGCGCGGGCTTGCCCACTTCGCGTGGCCCATAGAGCTTGATGGGAAGTGTATGGGGTTCTATTACGAGCTTCACCACCACTCTGTCGGCGCCGATCTGGGGAAAGTTCTTCAGCAGCTCCTTCTGCCGTTGCGCCTTGGCCTTGTCCTCATCCGTCCGGTCTGCCAGCTTCTTCGGCTGACTGAAGTGGGTGTGGAAAGTGCGAAAGTTTGTGCCCGACAGCCATACTGCCTTGGAGCGCTCAAACGACGTCTCCAAGACGCCGCTCTGCTGAATTGTCTGCCATTCGCTGGAGGGGAGATCGAGAGGCTGGGGCTCGGGAAGTGTGGGCAAGGGCGCGCCATCGACTATTCGGAGGGGCAGCGTCTGTTTCGGGGGGAGTGGTGTGCCATCTGGGACGGGTGGTGTCGATGGAGTTGGCTCTTGGGCAGGCAAACTCGTGCGCTTGCGCTTCAACGACGCCTTTGTGCCTCGCGCAGGCTTCTCGTTGGGCGTCTCGGGGGGCGCGGGGGCAGCCGGGGCGGCTTCTTCGCGGGCGCGCGTCCTCGTCGACCGTCGCGGCTCAGACATTTCGAGTGCGGGCACCGATTGCGGACATCATGCCATGGCCGTGGCTGGGAAGTGAAATGCGCGTCACGTGCGTTGCGGTTGGACGCGACACGAGCGGCCCAGTGGGGCGGAACGCTATGATCTTGGCGAGGTCAGATGACAGCGGGTGTGGCGCAGCCGGGTGTGGCGCAGTACTGGGCATGTGTAGGCGATCCAAAGTACGTTCAGCTAGTTTTACCTTGAAGTATCTATAATTGCAGCGTCCACAATTCTCTGTATTTCACACGTACTCTAGGATGGCAAAAAGAATCGAAGTTGAGTGACAGGAAGTATTTTAGAGCACCTTCATCCCAGGTACAACCACCGCCAGCACCGCACATGCTGCGCCGCACGAAGGGTGCGATCTTAGATTCCGGGACAGGGAAGCTAAGCGCCGTGCAATACAGGTTATCAATTCCCCTAGTGCCTTCTTGGTATCCCGGTAAAGGAAGAGATTGTGCTGGCCTCTTCGAACTATGCCAAGTCACCTCAAACAATGTCTGCATTACTATAGATAGGCTTTTGGACGCATGAAAAAATCCACATCCAAGACCGAGCTCTGAGTATCTTTATCTGGCCCGACTGTGTCGTACATGGCTAGTCTTGGTGGGCAAAGACCGGGTGTTCTCCATTTTAAGTTTTGCCGGTCTCCCGAGAGACGGTCCAATTTGCTCCGTTTCACCTGTCAGTGCCCACTAGCGGGCAGTGCAGTCCTACACCATTCTCACATCTGTTCTCGTATATCTACAACTCAGCCTTCCCTTGCCTTGCCTTGTGCATACGAAAACCTCGAAAAGACCGTTGGTGATCTTATCTTAGCCCCTGGATGCAATGGATTCATCAACACCGCCTTTATGATCGACGGGCTAGATGGTGCGCCTAATGCCCAATGGAAACTCATGCAATCTTACCGCAGTACTCCCGGATACTGGACTATCAACAATCAGGCTTGACTCCTTTTTGTGCGGGCTGGGTGGAACCCACTATAAGGCGCCCATCAGCGCCACGACAGCTTCGTGGTTTTTGTCTTTGCTTGTCTCAACCCCATTCCACTCGTTCGGTACTGTGCGACTCTACGCCATGCGGGTCACTGTCCTTGTCTCGGCCCTGCTTACTTTTTCCTCGTCTGCTCTCGCCACTTGCTACTTCCCCAATGGCCAGATATCTCCTGCGGATACTGCGTGCGATCCCAGCGCCATAGAATCGTCTTGTTGCTACAAAAACCAAGCGTGTCTATCCAATGGGCTGTGCGTATCCGACCCACATAATCCAGAATTAGCCCGTCTTCATCGAGGAACGTGTACGGACCAATCTTGGAAAAGCGGAAACTGCGTGCGCTCATGTCTCGGTATGTCGAATGCCTTTTGCTGCATATGTGCATACTAATAAGTACAAAGATACCGACAACAATGGCGTGCCCGTCTACAGCTGCAACGTAACTGATGTTGATTCTTACTGCTGCTATGACGACTGCAAATGTGAACAGCCATTCCAGGTCTTCTCATTCAGCCCATTGCCCGTCGACCTTCACACTGTCACCATTATCCGTGAATCATTTACTCAGACCTACTCGTCAAAGGCTACTGCTGCAACATCGACTTCAAGTTTAGCTGTGTCTTCGACTTCAGGAACATCTGCTAGTTCAAGCACACCAGCATCTGTCTCTACATTCTCTACATCCGCGGCCTCTCGTGCCTCGGCCTCTCCTGTATCGACACCCACTCAAACAGCCTCCGAATCTAAGGGAGAATCATCGAACCATGTTGCTCTTGGAGTAGGACTAGGTGTTGGTCTTGGTGTGGGTGTACCGGCCATTCTCCTAGCTGCATTCTTTCTATTGCGTCGCAAAAAAGAATACAGCCCGGCAAATGGTGCCTCGTCTATGTCAGACCCGGCCCACGAGATCTACGAACCCATGGCGCATAAATACGCCTACAACTATACTGCGGAAGTTTCAGGGTAAGAAATCAGATCATGTTTCTGTTGCATTTCTGAACTGACGTCAATTTCAGAGTCTCTTCTGCGAGTGAAATGCCTGCCACGAATGACCAAGCCGTCGAGCTACCCAGCAACCAGCAACATTCTTCGGACGCAGCAACAGGGCAAAAGTACCATTAAAACACCATGATTTGCATAAGAAACGGCAGAGACCAAGGAGAAGTAAAACATGCTCCATGCGGAAGTGCGGTACGACAATGAAGTCAAACTTCTCCATGGACAAACGAGAAAAACGAGAACGACCAGCGGGCTATATATATGCCAGGAAAGGAAAAAGCATAGCACTCTACCAAACATCCTACCTACAAGGCATGATAGATACCCCCGCGAAAACACTCCATTACCAACCCAACCGTTATTCTAAGAATCAACCAACCATAACAACTCTATCGCATAACCTCCCCATCCCCACCCCCAACCCTCCTTTCTCTTCCCCACACACAGCCACCGCCACAGCCCGCATACAGTACAGCCTCGGAGACTTCTCCCTCCCCATGCACTCGCCCTCGCAACTCATGCTCGCATGAAAAACCCCTCCATCCCTGATCCCCACAGAAAGAAGAAAAAAGGACCACACTACCCACATACGCACACGCAAATCACGAACTGTGGCGCAGCACCCAAGTCCTAAGATCTCAAACGTGAACGCATGAACATGAACAACCAACCCCCCACATTTATTCTTTTCTTAGCACATGTAGGCCAGGTAGTACCGCCACAGGAGCTACACCTACGCCTGTGTATGGCTATGCATTGTTGTGGCGGGGGTTCTTTCTTTCTAGGCGTACACGGACACACGGACACGCCGATACAGTCGATGGACGGGTAATCGATAAGTAACATGGACACGGTGGCGATGTATAGACAAGGGAGAGAAACAATGCGAAAAAAAACGTATGGATCCACGCGTTTATTCCAACCCCCAGAAGAAGTTAACAGGAAAACAGGAAAACGAGCAAATGCGTACATGCGTACGTGATTGGATTAGGCAGCTACTGTAAGTCCCCCTTCTCCCCCTCCCATCTACCCCCTAACTAGGCTGTGGCGACCCAGGATCCCCCACTCCGCCCCCATGGAAAACCCCCCTCAACAGCGTTGCGAACTTTATCCGGTTTGGTTGACCGGGGGCATTCTAATAACGAAGGGTGAAGGCGGCGGAGGGGAATATGCAGGAGATCTGTATGTGCGGAGCGGATAATGACAGTTCTTCATACATTTTGAAACGCAGTGAGTAGCGTGGGCGCGTGCAAGATGTAGAGGGGGGTGTGTGAGTATGTGTGTTAAGGACATGGGTTGCGCGGGTTATAGGGTATGTCACTGTCGGCAGGCTGCTTCCGATATCTGTATGGGAAAAGAGAGAGCATGTGAAAACAAAAAAGAGAGCGGGGAAGAATTACGTGGGTTCTGCACTGCTGTGTTTAGTTTAATCACAGCAAACACGTTGCAACAACAATCAAGTGAGGGAATTTTTCTCAAAACGAATTGATATTTTGGGAGTTCTATTGGCTTTGACACCAGAAGGGGGTATATATGACCATATAATCCCCTTGTATGTTCTTGTGTTTTCGTATGTAGAATGGACATGCAGATTTCCCCCGCTTTCACATCCTGAAACACCAGCAAATGCGCAGCAGCAGCAGAAGAAGAAGAAGAATCAAGTTCGCATGGAACTTGTGGAGAAAGGAAGAAAAAAAAACAGAAACAAAAAGAGAAAAGAAGGTGTGGGGTATGTACAACAAGCGGAAAACCCGGTCCCAGACCTTTTTTGTCTCGCTATGTGCAAAAGAATGAAGAGAAGTGTTTGAAGGTTGGAGAAAAGAGCGTAAGAACGTATATATGTGTGTGTGACAACACCGTCGTGAAGACATCAAGTCTTTCCAGATCAAAATTGTGGGCTGAAGTCAGCCGCTTAGTTGACAACGCGGCGGCTGGACCAGCGAGGACGAGCAATGCGGCCGTTGTATCCACGCTTAGTGATGTTGCCGTTGGAACAGGTGGTGCCGGCAGCAACGGCTTGCCAGACGACATTTCCGTTGTTGCAGATACCAAACTGGTTCGCACCATTGCAAACAATCGCGCCATTTTGGCTGCAGGTACCAGAGCCACCAGAGCCACCAGAGGGGCTGGAGGGAGCGGATGGAGAGCCAGTTCCAACAGGGGGAGTGGGTGCAACTGGGGCTGGCGCTGTGGGAGTGGCGGTGACAGTGACAAGTGTAGTTGAGGTAGAGGGCACAGGAGCAGCGCTGGAGGCACCTGGGGCGAAGACACCGCCGCCGTTGGTGGGAGGAGAAGGCTTACCCACAGCTGGGGAAGTGGGGGATGCAGATGGTTTGCTTCCAGCAACAGAGGTAGGAGCAGGAGAAGGCGCGCCACCAGCAGGAAAAGAAGCGCCTGGGGCGGGGGCGCCACCAGTAGGAGGAGAGGGGCCGGGCGCACCGCCAGCAGGGGATGATGGAGAGGGGGCACCACCAGCAGGGGAGGAGGGAGACGGGGCGCCGCCGGCAGGGGATGAGGGCGAGGGTGCGCCGCCGGCAGGAGAAGAGGGGTTAGCAGGAGCAGAACCAGAGGAGCCACAAGCGCTGCCAACCGGGGGCTTCAAGTCGTTGGTGTTGCCTTTCTGAACAACTGAGCCCGGGTTGGGAAACTGAACGGCCGAGTTGGGAACAGACTCGCAGGACTTGTCAATGTTGATAACCAGCATATCAGGGAGCTTCTCGAAAGCGGTCTTGTCATCGGAACCACCAGTGACCTCGATAGGAGCGCAGTTCATGTAAAGCTCAGCCTGACCTGCCAGCTTCGACATCCATGTCCAGGCAAATGTAGCTTTTCCGTTAGGAATACTGTCTGGGAGCACAAAATCGTAGGAATCAGCCGGTCCCTCAACAGCTGGGCAACCGCCTTCCATTGATTTGATGACCTTGAAGACGGAGTTGGCAGTAGGCTCCGTATCCAGAGTTACCGACAGCTGACAGCTGCCTCCGCCGTGGACGGCAGTACCATCAAGTTTCAGGGTGTTCGTCTCTCCAACTTTCATTTGGTTCATCTGAGAGACAGTGAATCCATTTTGAGATTTGCAGGGGTACTGTGACTTGGTGATAGGTGAAGTGTCGACTTTGTCAACACTGTAGGGAACAGGCATTGACATCTTGACATGAGCGTCAACGGTGGCAACTAAGGCAGTTGCGGCCATGAAGATTGATCGGAAAGCCATGGTGATGGTGTTTTGAGTTGTGCAAAGAATGGTTGTGTAAGGAATGTGTCAGAAGGTAAAAAGTCAACTAGCCCAGCTAGAGAGGAAAAGATAGAATGCAAAGCAAAGGCAAAGAATGTGGAAACTGCTGAGAGAGTGTGTGATGCTGGAATCCATTCTCAGCGGATGGTTGCATTCTCTTATACAGATGGCACGACATGTCAAGTGTGGATTGTATCCACCTTGGGCCACCACACGCCATCTCCACAATGCGTCGCTTTTGGTGATCCTCTAATCAAACAACAGCGAAGAAAGCAAATGTGTGTAAACGCCAAACATGGAACATGGGCGAGGCTGTCGGTCCACAGTGGCGAGCGTCTATGGCATGAAACGGGCGGTCCAGGTACGCCGAGACTCTCAGCCAAAGGAATTGCAGCATCTAGCAAAACCGATGCAGGAACATCAATGCATCGACACCGTAACCAGAAGGCGATGATTACGTGGGCTCGAGGATCTGCAATGCCATGTGTAGGGCCTTAGACAAAGTTTCGTTTCCATGGTGTAGCCAACCGATGATTGGCTGGGGCGGAGTCGCTTAGCGGGCCATGCGAAGACTGGCCCCCTGGGTGTTTTATGCTACGTCGCACATCGGGCCTGACTATCCCTGCATTGCGAGGCCCATTGGTGAGCCGCTTGCGCCTTCGTCGACACCGATGACTTCGCGCTGCTCTGGCTTGCTCCACAGCGCTTGATGCCAACTCTTGTTTTTCTCGCCTAGCCAGCTGAACAATGGGTCTGCGACACCATCTGCCTTTCCAAGCAACGGGACTGGCCAGCATACAGCGCCAACATGGCGATCGTGACTTTGCGGTGGAGTACAGACAGCTTTCGCGTCGTGTCCATGCATTCTTGCCAACCCGAGCGGCAGTTCCATAGTCGTAACCCTGTGCCTGTCGTCTATTGAGACCTGTTTGGATATAGGTAAGGATCATGGCATCAGTTGATCTCTACAGGGCGGCTTAGAGGAAGAATGTGGCGCCTTGGTCGCTGTGGATTTCCGCATTGGGAAACGCGCCATAGACGGCATTGCCGTGGGGTGCTGCGCCACATGCTACGCTGGGCGGATGTGCCCAAAACGTTTCGAGCAACATCAGCCTCAACGGTAGAGGCGCCCTCGTTCAAGTTTGCGTAGGGGTACGCCAGCTGCTAAAGCGATATGACCAATATCGTCGTTCCCGCGTACATCTGCAATGTGCACCTGGACGTCTCTCAGGAGTCTCGCTCTTTCCATAGCATCCAGCATGGTCCCACCACGAGGGATTCTTATCCATGGGTTTTCATACGTCATGCTTGAGACGTAACCGAACATCTCGGGTCCTAGGGTACGGTGCTTGAGCACCAATGCTACGACTCCAACGATAAGAATGACGGCCGAAGAAACCATAAGTAACGAGAGCCAAGCAGAGTCACCCACAAAGATCTCTTGGGTGACCGTTGTCCTTGCAGTAGTCGTTGCACCTATGAAGGGAGACTCGCTGCTTTGCACTACTGAGTCGAAGGTAGGCCACCAGTCGAAGAAGGAGTGGTCCGTAGCTGAGAAGTTGCTCGGCAAGTATTTGTTAACATCGTCAACAGGGAGTGTGTCCGGTCCATACAGAGATAGATTTCCCGACAACCCCCCAAAATACCCGGTTGGTTGCATGGTGAGCTGATAGTACGTGTTTATCGCAGAACTTAGTCTTCGAGAGAAGAGCTGTGGTTCGATCAAAGAAAGGTTGGTGAAAGCCACGTCTTGCGTGAATTGGCCAGCCTTCTGTACGAACGGGAAGGCCGAACTGTTGGCAAGATATCGCTCAGTGGGGCTTGATCCGACGCTATATGCCACCGCGACTGGGAATTGCTGTGCAAAACCTTGCATGATGACGCCGTGCTCCAGCGCTGTATACTTGGAAGGTCGTAAGTCTGACAGCGATTTCCGTAGCTTCTTGGTTGCACATTGTTTTCCAGTGCACTCGACCATTGCCTCGACGTGGTTTTGGGCCAGGGTACAGCGCGCCAGGTTCAGTCCAAACTCAGAGCTGTCTATGCTCGTGGAATACACCGAAGTGAATGATATCTCTCTTGCCTCTTGCGCTTGCTTACTCGCAAGTCGAGTCTGGTTGTAGTTCCCAAAGAACGCATCCAAACGCCCGAGTAGTGTGCCATACATGGGGTCTTGGGGATCCCAGGGTGATCCAAGATTTGTGTCGATGAAGAATGATGTGAGTTGACCCTCAACTGGCTCGAATGGGTTGTTCAAAGACTTGTTACGCCACACTTGACCAGGAACAAGCTTGTCCAACTTAGCAAAGTCAGTCCGAAAGCGATTCGTACTATTATCGATCCCCGGATACGGTGCTTGATTGAACCGGCCACACTCTACTGTGAGATAGGTCGATTCAATCGTGAAGTTCGATTGACCCTTTTGCGGAAGTCCAACTATGGGAAGGCCGACAAGTGCAGAGTAAATTTCTGGTTGCTGGATATCTGGCACGGTGATCCAACCTTCAGCATCTGGCTTAGTCCCATTCATATACTCCAGATTTGGTATCTTGACATTGCCCCATGGATCTCTTGGGCCTATTTTGGTATCCATGGGCGCTAGCAAGGCTGCAGTGTATAGGGCTCCTGCATCGGCAAACTTCCCACTACCAACATATGTGGAGGATAGGCCCCACATGCTTCCACCTGGACCGGTAGTCATGTATCGCAACTTGGCATTATCAAAGCTGACATGGTCCTGTCTTGTCATGAGTCGAAGAGAGGCTTGGCCTCCAAGGGGAGACAAAGCCCATAGGAATAAGAGATTGATACCAACAAGTGTCAAGCGTTGCATGTTCATCTGGCTTTCGACAGTTCCCCAGACTGACTGGCTAGCCATGAGCAGCTCTAGAATCTAATGAGCGGATCAGTGACTAACCTCCACAGGCTTGTCGACTTCCCAGACTTACACTAATCTTGGAGCCTTTTTCAGCAAGGAATCGGGCTATCATCTTCATGCTTCGGCCACTGATCGCTGCGAATACGATGGGAAAAATAGTGGGGCCCTAGGCATGGGTTAGTGTGCAACCTAATCATGGCATATTTCCAGCTAACCAAGTTCATGGCAAACTCGACCTTCTTCCCAAGGTCTGATCCTTTGGTAGGCTTTCCATTTAGTGTGATGACGGCAGCTCCCAAAACTTGATACTGGTCAGCTGTGCCTGGTATGCACGCATTGGTATGTGCACTTACGTATAAAGTATACGGGTAGTAGCATCAAGATAAAATCTCCGATGCCGTACAAAACTGCCAACCAAGTTTGTTTCTTCAAGGGTCTCGCAGCTTCAGGCCAGCTTTCCACCCTCTCTACAGTCGTCTCCCAAACTTTTGGTTTTGGTGCTGCCGGGGGCGAATTTTCTAGGGGTATCTCCTCTGCTATAGTGCTCAAGGCACGCCGTCGGAAGGGGTTCCATCGGGTATTGGCTGTCGTACTCATGGCTGCTGGTCTGTTGCGTCACGCGGTGCTGTAAGGCCACGAAGGCGTATAGGCAGATGCGGCTGATGGTTCGCGAGCAGCGAACACGTCTCTTTTGGATGGCACCCATGCGGCACAGCCATAGCGAATCCTCAGCAGAGCGCCAATATGCTGTCTTGATTTAGGAGCGCGCTTGGAGAGATATGCAGCGTTGGGGCCTTCTCAGCGAATCGGTTGGTGGGATGAAACTCTAAGCGCCTGGCGAGCCCCGATTAATGGCCGGGTACCTGCGCGCGCCCGAAGAGAGACGGCAGCCAGACGGCGTGCATGCATAGCGGACATGGCGCAATGTCTGACATACATTTTGAAATGCAGCAAAGCTTCGAGTGCGAGGGGTGAAGGGAGCGAGTGATGCAGTCACGATGGTGCGCGGGGGGTGTGGAGAGACGCGTGCCAAGGGGCAGGTGGGCAATGGCGTCACCTGGCGCCTCTTCGGTTTCTAACAAGCACCGCCATCCTCTCTCCCCACCACCTCCACTCGACGGGACGGGGCGACACTCCAAATATGCACTCCGGTAGCCGCTGCAGGTACAATCACCTATCACGACGCGCTGCTATCCATCGACCCGCATGGCAAGGTTGACTGCGCCAACTCAACTCGGTCAAGCGAGACGCTCTCTCATACACTTTCGAACAACTCAACCAACCCGCAATGTACCAAGGGAGGCTGGGAGATTACGGCTACTGTCTAGGCCACATTCGTGTTGGAACCTGTCACGCATCCAACACAGAGCATGTGGCGCGGGCTATTCACAGACGTCATCTTGTGAACGCTCACTCAGCACGCCCAGGCCGAAGACATGCGAAACCACCTTGAGAGTATTTTGGGGTATGTGTAAAGTCGGCGGGCTTCAATACCCTTATGACTGTTCGCCTTTCTCTCCTCATGGCCCCGTCTCGTACGCGTGCAGTGGTCAGTACCGGCCAAATCAGCCATCGGTCTCAGACGCCACGTGAAGAGGCGCAGGCATGCGGCGGCCAACACCAGACGCCAGAGGTACCCATGATGCACCCAAATGTGAATACACGACTTTCAGCTGAGTACCTTGGTTGTGTATGATCTGGCGTAGAAATAGTTGCCTGGTGAGTAGGCTTTCGTCAGGCGCAAGATGTAGTCGTTCATTTGATCCACGCATCTTCCTTTCGCAATATACAATCTACACTTTTTGCATGCTGATCCCTTCACCAAAATGAAACCAGAGACCGAGGAAGCGATTCAAGCGGTACGACTCCCTTCAAAATTTAGGACTTCAGCGGCTATACGAGTTCTGCATATCCATCATGATAGAGTACTGACAGAATCGACACAGGCCAAGGGCTTGCTCATGGACCTGGTCGTGGTTGCATCGCTGGTGCGAACCTTGACAGATTCCTTTGGATCTGCGAGCGACCTGTATCGTAAGCTCAAGCGCAAGTCTAACCCTAAAGACAGTGACGATGAAGACGACAAATTATTCATCAGAAAGTCTTTCCACAGACGCCGCGATTCTGGGGTCGGCAAAGACGCGTGCGACAGCGAAGAAGAGCTCATATTCACTTCTTCGATCCAAGTCCGAGCCGAATACGACCGGGGATACAAGAAGCATGGCGAGCTTTTTGCGCGTGGTGATTGTATGTTTTCATCTCGACTCGAAGGTTAACACTGACGAAATGCAGCAACGACACAAATTCAACTCCAGTCCCAGATCATCCAGCTCCAGCAAGTTCTTCTCAGCATACACCAAGATATGCTGGTGAGCTCGTACCTGGCGCCATCATCTTCACACTCGCACCTCGTACGCCTCATTCAAACCACCCGGACAGCACGGGCTGCCTCGATTGCGGCGTTGAGTATGCAGTATGAGCGTATGATACCCCCGCCATCACCCAAACCCCGGCAGCCAGAGTCGCCTTGCAGTCCGCCTGGCGCTTTCCCAGCCATGGAAGATGTTTGGCACACCACGAAGCCCTTCAAGCCAAGGAGGCGCAGCGCGGATAGCTCGAGCTCGTCGAGTTTGTCAGGAGACAAGGAAATCAGAATACTGCCCATCCCAAACCGCAAGCCAGACCGCAAACCAGCGCCGGAGCCGGAACCCAAGCCGCAACCAAAGCCAGAGCCAGAGCCAGAACTGAAGCCGAGACCCAAACTCGACACGAGGCCTTCTTTCCCGCCATCCAAGCCGCGCCTCTTCTGTCTCTACGCCAAAGACCTCCAAGATGACCCTTGGCTGCCCCTGGCAAAATCATACAGACCCTGTGGCGATAACAAGTGTCCGTTCTGCCGCACGTACCTATCCATGCGGCCCGGAAAGGTATGGGAGATTGTCGTTGATAACTGCAAGGAGCCCAGGAGTAGTCACCGCAAGTCTGCGTACCGCGTCTTCCGCATCAAGAACCGCTTCATCGTCAAGTCGCACCGCGAACAAGGCGGCTTCGCATGTGTTCTCTGCGCGAGATTCCGACGCTTCGACATGTTGTGCAGGGACATTGGGTCGCTGATCGACCACTTGTGGCGCGAGCATACAGCCGACGAGTTGGAATGGGACATTGATGTTGTAGAATGTTGATTTTGGCGTTGCATCTGTTGTTGTTATTTTTCTTTCTGTTTTCAAGTACTGACGACCTAATGATACCCTTTCATTCATAGCTATTTCTTTTTTTTCATTCTTTTCCTATATAGCCTTAATCCCATATCTTCATCTCAGAACCTAGCAATCACATGCATATCCTCCGCAAGCGCACCCCTCCTCTTGCTCTTCTTCCCCCCACACACATTCAAATGATGGAAAAACCACATGTGCGCCTCCGGGTCCATGGCCAGCCACTTTGCATTTCCCTTGAGATTCCAGGACCCATCGAGCACTTTGATGTCGCTCGTACGCACTTCCTGCTTATTTTTCACATCAATATAGTATTCTGGCGTGACGTGCACGTAGCCCATGGTGAGAAACGGGATCCGAGATACGGGGTCGTTCCAGTGCGTGATGCGGTAATTGCCGCCAGCCTGCTTGCTGATGAAGTCGCTGACGCTGGGTCCGCCGATGCGCGGCGCGCCAAACGTGTACATGGCTACGTCGAAGCCTTCGGTGCGCAGGCCTGCAGCTGCAAACGTCGCTACGGCGCCGCCCAGCGAGTGCCCCGTCACCCGGATCTGGTAGCCTGGGTACTGCGCTGTGCTGTTCTTGAGCGCGGATACAACGCGCCGCCGGGCGTCGGTCCACGACCGCCAGAAGCCGCTGTGCGCAACGCACTTGGGACACAGCGTTGTCGGCATCATGGCAAAGTCAAAGTTGGTGATCCAGTTATCGGGCGTCCTGCTGCCGCGGAATGCTACGATCAGCAGCTTGTGCGTGTGGTCTGCGGCAATATACCCCGTTACATCTGTCGATGTTTCCGCTCTGCTCGCCTCATTAGCATTCAAAGTAACGGAATGCGGAGTTTTGGAAGTTACGTACTCGGAATACTCCTCGAGGCTCTCCACATTTGCGGCTTGCACCAGCGGGCATTTTCCAGAGCCGCAGTAAACGGTGCCACCCGGCGAGTCGATGTTGGGCTTGCAGTATGCGGCGGATGCGTACTGGCTCATGAGTTTCATGTCGGCGAGGAGCGTCTCAGAAACTGCTGCATCGCTGTTAGCACGTGAGTTCCACGATACATGGCGAAATGGGTGGTATACGTCTTCTCTTGGCGAACGGCGAGGCATTGCTCGTGAAAGCGCCCAGCAGTGCTGCGAGAGCGAGAGTCGAAAAAGCTCGCATGGTGTGTCGCAGCCAGCGGGCGAATCCGTATTCAAAGGAGTGACGGGGAAAGACTAAAAATAGGGGCCTTAAGGTCGTGCTTGTCAGCCGAGTAGAAGACACGTAAGTATATACAACATTACCATGGCCTTCAACCCAGGGTTCGGCGGCGCCCTGAAGGAGAGGGGGACGAACAGCCCGTCTTTGTACACTGCGAGTGGCATCGCAATTTACAGTGCGGCTAAGCGCGAAACAGACGTAGATGTCTCCTTAGGCAATAGAGTTGCAGCCAATTACAATGCGTAGGTTTAGATCTTGACCATTGCTACATCGAGTGTAGATCTAGATGGGGCGCTTTCTCGTTAGCATGGAACAGAACCTCTTTGTTCACCCCTCTCCCTACTCCTATTGGCAATGCCAAAACATGTCATGCGAGTTTGTGGTGTGCCGTCTGCCTCCATCTCCACCAATATTCCAAGAAGAAAAAAATACATTGATTTTGCGGACACAGAATTGCTAAATCAGCCACGCTGCAGTAGGGCGTCCTGTGCTGGCCTCAGAACACATGCAGTCCGCTAGACTCATTGGCCTGGCTGTTTTATCACGAGGCTTGGTCGAGATTGACATGGTCTTTGGGGGTAGCGGATGCAGCACTGTGATTGGGTGGCGCGGCGAACATGCGATGTGCTGGGCGAATGGGCTAGTGTCGAGTTGCGAGGTGCGGCGCATGTCTTAGCGCCAGGAATTACACATGCTTTCCCGGGCCGTTACTGCGTCTTCGTCAGAATGCTAAGATATGTGCAAGGGCATTCTTTTTTTAGTTTGATTCGCTTTTTTTAGCTTCCGCGGCTTGGTTCCCGCCCGCAAATATGACCGGGGTGACACATGGCCTGGTAGAATGCGGTGTAGGGAGGGATCCTTGTCTAAGTTAGATGGAGTAGGATGGGCGGGTGTCGGTCCAGTGTGGAGTGAGCAACCTCATGGCTTCTTGAGGGTGATTGAATAATGATGAATTGCTGTCTTGTGGAGGCAGGGTCCCCGTGGAGATTTGTCCACCGCAGTACCATGGTTGATGTGCAGAATGCACGTCCCCAAAACGGAGGTGGGGAGTCGAATTGTCCAAAGTGGATAAGAGCTCGTAAGCACTTTAAATTCAAGGCCGCCCGAGCAGTACTTGGGTGTTTCTCCTCTCATTCGATATGCGGCGACACAGCGAGTACGAAGTGATTGAACCTGGAGTGGAAATCGATGCGTCATGGAAAGTATCAATTCTCTGTGAAAGTGTCGCTACCAAGGTCAGTGGCAGATCCCCATACCTGCTAGAATTCTTGCTTATTTCTTATAGGCAGTTTCCATACTCGCCCCCGTAATTGCACAGGGGTTTGCTTGGTAAGCTTTAGTCTTCCTCGGAAGATCGACCGTCATCCTTGGCGTACTTCTCGTTCACTGCTTGGCCATCTGAAGGTACACCTCTCGCTTCTCTCGGCACCCCAACCTATTCTGGTACAATTTCGCACTCAGCTTACGAATGTGGCTCGATCAGTAGATTGCCGGCCTGATGAGAACTATGTCCATGGTCGATGCAGGCGACCAGTCCACATTTGTGATACTCCAAGTGACAGTATTGCTAATGCTGTTCATTTATGGGTGGTAGACTTCGGTGCGAAAGGTGATGACTAGTGGCGCAAAGAGAAGTCATGCGGGAAAAAGAAGTGCAGGTTAAAGTGGCGTCTTCGTAAGATCTCTTTTCTCGTAGGATCATGGTGAAGACCAGGACCAAGGACGAGTGACAATGCGCTGAGGTACCAATTGTAGCTTTCCAACTGTACCTGGGTTGTTATTAGAAATTATTAAATATCAAGTGTCAAGAGAAGGGTAGGGTGAAACAGGTAGGCTTCCAAACAAACCCTCAAAGCCGTAGGCGGAAATCCACAGCCAGCATCAGGCTCTTCTTGATGACTCGACCAAACCACGAAGTGAGGATGCAAGGGATAGCACCGAACCAGGCGGCAATGGGCGTCCTGAAACAACTATGCAACTGTGTCGTCTTCATTGGAGCCCATGTTTGGAGAGTGCGGGGTGGATTAGGCATTGATCTGCGAACCCTCGAATCAACAAAAGTGGCACGGAATTCCGGCGGCGCAAAATCGCATGGTGAGGATTGCATCAAACCCCACGATAAAAGCCACTGCATACCAAAGGATTCTCGCAGACCAAGGCTCCGGATCGTCTCCAAAGTCGTGGGGTACGTAAGCGGTTCTTCTTCGCCACCAGGTGGATCTCCAGGGGCACGCTAAACGCTTCTGTCACCGCTTTGCAGCTCCTTGGCGCTACTACCTTGAACCTCATCTCCATCGCACTGCGCGTTTCTGCCTTTGGATTTTCGCTTTATTCTGCCATCGTCTTCGTTATTGATGGTCCCTTCTTTGGATCGAGTCATTTCCAACATTCTTTACCTTCCGGCATAGGGACATCTGTCGCCGTTGAAATTGCCGCACTCCCTCACCATTTGCGGCCCCTAACCTAGCCGACATTCAGCACAATGGGCAAATTGGCTTTCCCCATCGATGCGGAGCTTACCGGCCCGGACCGTATGGTTCTGAGCATTTTGCAAAAAGAATATGAGCTACATGACAATGCGGCGGCCGGGTCGTCGTCGGATTCAGCTGAGGATTCAGACGACTCGGGTGTTAAGCACTCTAAAATTGTCACGCCATCACCTGAAGGTATGTTGTTCTCCCGATGAAGTATTCTTGGCAACCCAGCGACCCCCGTCTGTGTTGTTTTCGTTGCCCTTCTAACCTCTTGCAGACCTCCAAGACCAGCAGCAACAAACAATCGCTTATCTCAAGAAACTCAACGACCCCAAGTCGGATGCGTTTGAAACTACTGTTTTCAGCTCCATTGATGAGCCGGATATCAAGAATCCTCTGATCCGTAAATGGATCATCGATCCCTACATTCGCTGGGCGCGGCACGTCGTTCGAGTCGAGACGGATGTTGTCATGATCACACATCTACTCCTCTATTTCTGTACCAGCGTTCCATCAGCCATCTATCTTTACATCAACTTTCACTGGTGGCATGCTTTACTTCATTGTGTCATGCAAGGTTGGTATATGGGAGCGTACACTCTCCTGAAGCACCAACACATCCACATGCGTGGTGTGCTCAACCACAAGTATGACCTGTTCGACCGTCTGTTTCCTTACATCCTGGATCCGCTCATGGGCCACACTTGGAACTCATACTACTACCACCATGTCAAACACCACCACGTTGAAGGTAATGGCCCCAACGACCTCTCTTCCACGATTCGGTATCAGAGAGACAGCGTCTGGGACTTTATGCAATATGTCGGTCGTTTCTATTTCCTCATCTGGTTCGACCTACCCCTGTACTTCTTGCGTACGCGTAAGCCCAACCTCGCATTCCAAGCAGGCGGATGTGAGATCAGCAACTACATCTTCTTGTATCTCATGTACAACTATGTCAACGCTCGCGCAACCACTTTTGTTTACTTGATTCCTCTCGCCTTCATGCGCTTGGCGCTTATGACTGGCAACTGGGGCCAGCATGCCTTTGTCGACGAAGTCGAGCCAGACTCGGACTTTAGATCCAGCATAACGCTCATTGACACACCGGTAGGTTTCAAAACTCAACGATTAGTATAGCAACTGACGCTTTAAAAGAGTAACCGATACTGCTACAACGATGGTTATCATACCTCGCACCATCTCAACCCTCTTCGCCATTGGCGCGAGCACCCTGTCGCGTTCCTTTCCCAGAAGAAGCAGTACGCCGACGAACACGCGATAGTGTTCTACAACATTGATTACTTCTTTCTCACGATAAACCTCCTGAGAAAGAACTATGGGCACATTGCAAAGTGCTTGGTCCCCATGGGCGACCAGATGAACCTCACACTTGATGAGAAGATTGAGATGTTGAAGCGCAAGACGAGAAAGTTTACAGAAGAGGAGATTGCGGAGAAGTGGGGAAAGCAGTTTGCTAAGACAAAGTAGATTGCTAACTCATGGCTTGAATGATCAATTCAACAGAATTCAAGACTTGTGAATCCTCTTTGCGTTGTAGCCAATCTTTTGCTCTTGTCTTTGTACTGCAGTTGCCAGCTCAGGCACTTTCCCCGGTGCTTCTCGACCATCGCACCACTCGACTGCACCTCGCTCGCTTACACCACCGTCATATCGACACCCCTAGACCCATTACTAACGAGCAACGATGACAAACAGTGATCCCTTGCCTTTTGATCAAAGCTTATTCATTGCGACGTCCAATGCAGTCTATCTAAGGTCACCTCTCGCCAACAAGAAGCTATTCGAGTGCGAAAGCGCGAATGGCATTGTAAGTGCTCGGGCTTCACACAGTAACAGCAGCCCTTTTGCTGTAGCAGATGGCCAAATCGTTATATTGCACGATGCCACGCTGGGCGCAGACAAGAAGTACAAGCTGAGAAATAACGATGTACAATGCCTTCGGCCAAATGTACATGGGCCCTTTGCTGACACGAACAGGGCGTACCACGACTTTTGCTCTTCTCATCCGACGGGCGAACGCTGTATTTCACGACAACGCTGAACAACTCAGTTCAAGCGTATTCAGTCTCCAGTGATAAACTCTTGCCGTCCCTGCCGCCGCATCCCTCACCTCCAAACACGATTTCTATATCTGCCAACGGCATACTACTGCTGTCAACCTCACCCAGCCCACCGACTATATACCTTCAAGACCAAAGACAAGGCGGTAATCCGCCAGTACACTTCTGTCCAGCGGAAGCTCGTGGCCCTGCTACCTGTACTGCATTCCAGCATTCTACTAGCCATGAAGAGCTTCCCTACACACGTTTTGTAGTTGGATTCCAGGACGGGCTTCTCGCCATGTATCGAAACTCTCTTCCGTCTTCCCAGAAACCTTATGGAACTCATAGAAATCATGCGCAAGGCTTGCGACCTCAGCCGATCCGAGTCGGCATTATTAAGCAACTACACAAGGCGGCCATGGGCGGGGTAGCAGCAGTGGATTTCATACCGGGATACAAGTCACGGACTGTCAGCATTGGGCACGATGGGAAATGCCGACTTGTCGAATTCGAGGGAGGAGCACAGATTCTTCGGACATGGCATGTATCTGGCCCTGCTACTTGTCTCTCCATCTCTGCCAAAGTACGAAGGCTACCAAAGAATGATGAAGCCATGGAGACATACACTGGAAATATCCCGGGAGAAAGTGAAGGAACATCCTAGGAAGTATCTGAGACACTTATTGCAATCGGGACGCAAGCCGGAAAAGTCATGCTCTTCAACATTCTTGGACTGCTTGTACACGAGATTACATTGGACGCACCGGTAATGAATGTTGAATGGGTTGGTGACATGACGGAATCTTCGTCACCCGACTTCCTTGCCATACAAGATACCCCAGTGCATCGGCTTTCAGTTGGTCGCGGCAATAACATTGGCACTGCAAAGTCTGACTTACTTCGTAATGGCGCCGACGAAAGGAACAGGGTACCCATACGCCCATTTCGGGATATTCCCTCCCAGGACAGCAGAAAGAAGAATCCAAGTGTGCATATTCACAGATCTTCGGGTGCCTCAAGTAGATCAGCTTTGCGGGTACACAAGGCTCGCGGAAAACCAAGACAGCCGCTGAGAAGACCGCGCGTAGTAGCAGAGACCTTCCAATCACCTCCACCATCACCAAATTCACCTTCGGGTAGCTCAGACTCAAGATTGGTTGTGGCAGATCATGTTATTCAAGAACATGTGAAATGGCCGCAGGCACCGAGAATGCAAGGAGCTCCTCATACACGACAGTCTTACCCGCCACCTACCTCTTCTAGTTCGCCTGAAGGCCCTGAGCTCTCGAGACAAGAATGGTTCACACCGCGATCTGCAAGAAGAGCAGAGCACAAGGCCTCGCTGAAAGGGAAAGAATCCTCAACTAGAAATTATGGAGTTTCTCTGCCAGAATCTGCTCCCTACTATTCCACGACCGCCGAGCCAGAACGATCCTCCAACTATGGTGGTTCTGAAACGTTCTTATCCATTTCAGATTCCTGGCCCATCAAGAATACCCAGGGTATCTATGGAAACATTCAGGACAGCAATATTGTTCCCAAGGAATCAGCGAAGAATGCGCGTCGAATATCTGCTGCCAAAGGAGAAGCACCATTTGAAAGGCGCAACGGAAGAACCACATGGCCAAGCAAGTCGATGGAACACAATAGCCCTCAGGGCTATGTCGATACCGCTGCGTCCAGGCGTTCCTCTCTCGATGAACTATACTTCCGCAGGCCATCTCAACCCAACAAGAGTTACTCGGAAAACACAGCAGATCATGATGTGAATCAAGAATCCTCCTTGGCTACATACCACGACATACACCGGTATCAATCCACGATAGCTGAACTAGAGAGAGCAGATTCACCAAGCAGTATCTACTCGCGCTCCATCTCCGGTGTGAGGAGGGTGCTTGACCGAGAGAGCCAATTGGACGGAGACGGAGACGAGTTTTTTTCCATGCATTCTCAAAATCAAGCTAGCCTCTATGCTCCAGATTCGCAATCACCTACCGGACCATCACCTCCTTACACACGCTCATCACGTGTTCATTCATATCGCCGTGAAACTGAGGGAGCGACAATGCAGGCACGAGGTCGATATGGAAAGCGGGCGGCTACAGCCAACCAGGCCGACAATTCCGCGAGTGAAATAGCAAGATTAAAAGAAGACCAGACGGCATTGCGACACGACATGGCCGCTCTGCGAAGAGAGTTTCAAGCACTGAAAGCCGTGTTGCTCAAGTCAAAAGTCTGATATTGGCGACTGGGACGTGTCATTTCTTTGTCCTTCTTCTTCTCCTCCTATAGACTCCAATACCGCAAACTCCACATTACCACTCTCCTTTAGCGTGACTCTTATCAAATCATTCAAATCCAGCTTTTCAATTATGGGGGTTTTTTTTGTTGTTCGCACTGCTATTATATGTCTCGGCACCCGTCCTGCCTCTTCTTCGCTATTGAATTGATTCATGCATCGAAGTTTACCTTGGACGTTTTCGCACCAGGGAGTGGTAGACACTCCACCCCGTTCCAACACCGGCGTCCAACACTAAACAACGACCATGACGATGGTGATGACGACAGTGGTGGCGCTGCGGGTACCTCAATTTCCCACCTTCCACCCACACTTACTTCCGCCATCCATACCCCAATCCCTGTCTAAACGCTAATCCTCTAATCATAATCCAAGGCGAGCGAGTATACTTTCAGTACGAGCTAGCACTAGATAAATCCTAGTCTGCATTTTTTTTCAAGACAAAGAGTTAAACCGGTCACGTGCCATGTGTCTGTGCATGTCGTCATGCACTGATGCTGTATCTAACAGACAGACAGACAGAGCGACAGCACGATGGTAGTGGTACATAGTAAGGAGGCAACAGCAATCAGCCAAGGGGGAGTATCTTGCGTGTCAAAAGGGCGAAATCACACCTAGAATGAACGAAAGAAGAGGGAGTAGCGTTTCCTCTGTAACAAGTATACAGACAATATGCACGTTGAAAGCGAGAATCCATCACTGAATCAAGACAAGACACCATTCCAATCAAGTTATACTCCTTAATTTTGTACGTAGCTACCTACTTGAAAAAAAAACACAAACGCAACCGTGAACCACACCCACCATTGTTTCCTTGCTTCCTTCCGCCTTGTCTCGTATCCATGCACATTAGGTATAACATAAGGAGACACCGCGCTATGCAAAAAAAGGGGGGAGAGGGGAAAGAAAAGAGAGAGAGAGAGAGGAGGAAGAAAAGAATATACGTACGTACACAGACTAACCCCCGACGTATACATGTGTACTTTGTGTGTTCGTGGAGAAGAACCCCCTAAACAAGGAGAAGAAAGAAAGAAAGAAAGAAAGAAAAAGAACCCTAACAAACAAAGCAATAAAGCCAAGTCGTCAAAGTCATACATAATAATCAAGTAATGGAAAAAAAAGTCCCCCCCAATTTCTGTCTCTCTTGTTCCTCATATAGAAAAGGCAAAAGAAAAACCAAGAAAGAAAAAGAAAAAAAGACGTACAATCTTTTAAGCCAAGGAAAGTTACTGAGTCCAGTCCAGTTCAAGTCCAGTTGAAAAGAAACAAGGGTTATCAGACAAACGAAAAGTCGTACAACGACAATGTCCAAATGGGAAAAGAGAAAAGCCGAGGCAAAGAACAAGAAGAAGGTTGATCAAGCCAATAAAAGATGGCCTTACAAAACGCTGTCAGAACCGCATACAACTGTGCTCTAAGCAGCAAGCGGTTGCTCTTCGACGTTTAGCTCATCATCTTCGATGTTCTCGTCCATGCCAAAGCCAGAGTCCCATTGGCGCCTCGAGCTCTTCTTCTTGCCCTTTTTGCCAATCTTGACCTTTTCGCTCGTCTTGAGAACCTTGCCGGAGACGACGCGATGGAGATCGACACCCTGAGTCTTGACTTCAACACGCTTGAGCTTCATTTCTTGGATGGCCTGAAGAGCATCTTGGTTGCGGCGCTTGAGATCATCGGCGAGACGCTCGTTCTGTTCCTGGAGTTGACGTTGTGAAAGAGTGAGGGCGTCAATGGTGGCGCGTGTGTCTTCTTCGGCGAGACGGAAACGTTCCTTCATATCCTCATTTTGGGCCTCGAGGAGGACAATCGTCTCAACGCGGGCGTCACCCAGGAGGCGCATCTCGGTGATTTCATTGTTGCGATCCTCAAGCGCTTCCGCGTACTCAGCCGCGCGCTTCTCAGCTGCGTCTTGGAGGTTCTTGATTGTTGCCTCATGCGACCTGATGACGGCATTGAGAGAATTGATCTCGTCGTTGTGGGAACCAACAATGTTCAGCAGCTCGTTAGCCTCTGCCTCAACACGCCTGGATAGCGAGTCGTTCTCTCGGCGGTAGCTTTCGTTGTCAGCCTTCTGCTGGCTAAGGTCCTCCTCGAGAACCTCAATCTTCTCTTTGAGAGCAGTCGTGTCTTCGATGTATACACGGTCCTTTTCGGCGATTTGCTCTAGAAGATCCTGGATCTCTTCTTGCTGTCGCTGGACCTGGTTGTTGAGGTCGGTAATGTTGGCTTGTAGAGACATGATGGTAGAGTTGGTTGAGTTCTCGAGGGCCGCGTACTTGTTCGTGAGCTCGGCGAGTTGGGCAGCGAGGTCAGCAACCTGGACGTCGCGGTCCTGTTCAAGCTGGTTCCGTGCCTCGGTCATGTCGGCGAGGTTGTTTTCAAGCGTTGCGATATCACCTTCAACTTGCAGGATCTGTTGCTCCAATCGGCCAATGGTCTTCTCAGCATCCTCCCGAAGCTTCGACTCCTCCTCAAGCTGGTTGTTGAGCTCGTTTTCGCGCTCCTCGGCATCTTCCTCAAGCTCACTAATGGCAGTCTCCTTCTCCTGTTGTAGCTGGAAAAGCTTCGATCGGAGCTCGTTGGCTTGAATTCCAGTGTCGTGCAGACGCATGTTGAGGTCTTCAATCTTCTCATTGGCCTCCTCCAAATCAGCCTCGGTCTTTTCGCGTTGAGCGCGCTCGGCAGCCAAGTTCTCTCGGTAGTCGTTGAGCTGCTCTTTGAGCTCGGTGACAGTATCAGTGAGGTTCTCAATCGTATTGGCGTGCTTGTAGACCTGGTCAATCTGCTCATCTCGCTCCTTCTCAGCAGTTTCACGTGCTGCGGTTTGTGTAGCCAGACGGTCCCTAAGCGTAGCCATATCGGTGGTGATGTTGTCAACGTCGGCTTCCATGCGCTCGATGCTCTCTTCCAGCTGCTGAATATAGTCGTTCTTCTGCTCAGCGTCGGCTTCGGCAAATTCACGAGCTTCTTGTTCAGCGGCGAGTTTGCCCTCCACGTTGTTCAAGATCTCCTCGTACTCGTTCTCCATATTGGCAATTGTATCGTGGTGATTGTTCTCAAACTCATTGGCGGCGGCCGTGGCATTGTCGAGATCCACACGGTACTTCTCGAGAGCCTCGCGAAGTTCTGTCAGAGCACTGTCCTTTTCGTCGTTCGCGTCCTGAAGGCCGGCAATTTCGTCGTCTTGCCTAGTTAGCTGCGTCTCTTGTTCGTCGTTCAGGTTCGTCAAGGTAGCATTGCGCTCCTCAAGCTCGAGGATAGTACGCTGCTTGTCTTCATTGGCCTTGTCGAGTGTGAAGAAGTCCTCCTGGAGCTGCTTTACACGCTCCTCAGACTCGCCAAGCAGATCAAGAACACCTTCGTACTGCCGTCGAAGAAGAATCTCAGTCTTCTGCGACGCGTCAAGCATCGTCACCTTCTCCTTCAACTCGTAGAAGATGCCGCCGAAGAGCTGAGGAACCTTTTGGAGAAGCAGCTGGTTGCTAATACCAATTGTGGTACCAGGGAAGAACTTCTCAACCTCTGCGCGGAGATCCTGGAAGCCGTGGCGCAATTCTGCCAGTATGTCGCTGGAAGAAGCACCAGCCTCGATGTAGCGTAGGTTCTGCAGCTCAATCGTGATCAAGCGCAGTGCACCCTGCGACTCGCCCAAGGCTTTGCTCAACTGCTGCAGCTCCCGTTCGTAGCGCTCAATAGCCTCGTCCCCAATCCTATCCATCATGATCTCTTCACCCTCAATCAAGCTGTCGCGGTTGAGCTGCGAGAGGCTTGGCAGAGACTCGAGTGTCATCTGGCTGGAGATTTCGAGAGCACGCGAGGCATACTTGCCAGTGGGTGTGGGCTCCATGTCGAGGTCTTGGGACATGTTCAGCTCCTCAGGGTTGACCATGATGAGTGGTTCATCGTCGTCGGAGAATTGAACGGGTTCATCATCGCCATTGTACAATGAGGATGCTCGAAGCTCGTCAATCTGCTGGCGGGCCTCGTCCAGCTGCACCTGCAGCTCGTCGGCGTGGTCGTCGGTAATGTCAATCTCTCCAAGCCGGCGGGCTTCTAGCTGGTACTCCAAATCTCGGATCTTCTCGTCTTGTTCGCGGAGCTGGCGACGTAGCTCGAGGAAGAGCTTCTTGTCCTTCTTCTGGTGGTCTTCGAAGCTGTTCACCTCCTGACTAAGGTGGCTGCGACGGAGGCGGCGTCGAGCGCGACTGTCGAGCACTTGTGTAAGAGGGGCGAATTGAACGTGGTTGAAGTCGTTCTCGTCGACCTCGTCCACGCGCTCAACGTACAGCTGAGCAGGCATGGACATGCGAGAACGACGGACGTTGACAAAGCGCCTGCGGGCAGCACCGACGCGGTCCAGATGGGGGGTCAAACCGGGCAGCGGCTGTGTGGAAGCTTGCGGGGTCATGAGGTCATCGTCTTCATTGACCTCGCCAGCGGCGACGGGAGGCTCCGAATGTCTGCGGGTGTAGTGGCGCGTGGTGAGGCCGCTCTGTGCGTCGACATTGAGAGTGTCGCCCTGCTGCGAGCGCGAGAAGGACTGCTGGATCTCCTGGGCAATCTGGTCCTCGTCGTCGTCGAGCTGGACGCGCTTGGTGCGCTTCGTCTGCGAGAGCTCTGCAGAGGGCGAGGCGGTCCGCTTGCCCGTGGAGCTCATCTCTTCCGAAGGCGTCTGGTGCTTGGAGGGGCGGCCGCGCTTGCGTCGTGGAGCGTCGCCAGGACCCTCGTGGTGGTGCTCGGATGGGAGGCCACTGAGACGCGCCATGGTCGAGTGTCTACGTCTCAATTACGGTCTTGTACCGCTGCCGTCAGCTTCGACGATGGCGCGAGACTTGGGTCACGCGTGATTCAGCGCGCGCTGCAGCTTCTTACCTATCCACCAAGGAAAAAAAAGCACGCCAACACAGCGTGGTCCAAGAGGTCCGTGAGGGAAAGGCAGAGTTCGAGCAAGGCCAAAAAAATCGGGGAGCCCGGGCGGAAGATGCGGTTGAATGGGCAGAGGTGGGGTACAAAAGGACAGGCCGGCGGGGGACTTGTCTGGAGGGAGGTTGACGAGCGCCGGCGACGGTGCGACGGGCGGGCGGGTGAATTGGGGTGGTTGGGGCCAGTGGAGGCTTTTTTGCTACGTCAAGGCGGCCCATGCATGCCGTGGGCGCCTGCAGCCTGCCCTTTTGCACGCTAGCAGCCCGCCCACGCCCTTTGCGGGTGACGTCGACGCGACGAGACGACTTCCTTGACGCGTCTTCACCACCACGACTACCGCCACTACCACTGCCGCTACACTAGCCACTACCCCCTCATCATCGCCATCTCGCCTGCCCTGCGCCGGGCCCCCTCCAGCCAGGTTTCTGCCCGCACGCTACCCGCGCCGCCGCTTGCATCGCGCCCTGTTCGACGTCACTGTTCAAGCCACTGTGCAATGGCGCCCCGCGCACAATCATGGACGGCTGATGTTGACCGTGGGCTAGAATTACAGACATGGCAACCCTGGTCAGGGGCACCGACTTTCTGAGATGAGATCCGTCATCTTGTCCGTCCGCTGTCTCACCACCACCTCCTCCATGCTTACTTTTTCAGCAAAAAGTCACTCTTGAAAAACAAGCCCTTTGTCGCGCTGGCCACGCCATACAGCCCTCCCAGCGGCCATGTGCTCCAGAACTGCTGATACGCCCACCCGCTCCACGACTGCCTCGTCTGCACGCTTTTCCCCCCGGCCACGCCCTGGAGGTCGACTCGCACCTTGTCGTAGACGCTTGGCAGGCTCTCGGCATGGTACTTTCGCCGCAGCTCCATGTACTTGGTCTCGTCGTAAATGTCCCAGAACTCTTGTTCGGTGTAGTATGCGTGTGCGTAGAGACACTTCATGCCGCCGAGCTGCGTCACCTTTGCCTCAAAGTCGCGGTTGAGCTTGATAAAGGCATGGGCGTCGTCGGGCCCCATGTCCCAGATGCCCACGTCCAGCAGAATGTCGTCTTTGATGTTGGTGCCCTGCGAGAAGCTGCGTTCGCCCACCGGTGCCGATTTCACAGGACATAGCCAAAGCGGCCAGATGCCAGTCTTTTCGTCAATCCACCGGACAAACTCGTCGGCTGAGTCGTACGGCACACCGTAGTCTTGGATGATTGTCCGCGATGCAAGTCCGGAGCGATGCAGTGCATGTACCATTGTTCGCGAATACATAAAGGGATCCAGCAGAAAGCGAGTGAGGCGGTTGAACGGTGTTACAAAGTACTTGAATGCGCGAAGTCCCGACCAGAAGACGCCTCGGTCGTATCTGAACAAGTATGACTTTGTAGGCACTAGCTCCTTGTATGTTGTCTTATCGTTCTGAGTCCGCTTGACGATGTCTTCTGCGTGCATGTAGAGCCAAGGGTCTGTTGGCTTGTCGAAGCTCTGTATCTTGCGGTCCATTGGTGCGTCGGTCAGGCGGCCAATCATGATGACTCCACTGCTAAGAGAGTACAAGATGCCGTCCATGTAATCGACCGTGTCGTCGTCCTGATGAATTCGTAGCTGCTTTACAGCCTCTTCTGTGCTGCGCACCGGTATGTACTCGAGCTCGACGTAGTGACTCGCCTGGATGAGCTCCATCTTGAGCAGCGTAATGACGCCTAGACTCCCACAGCTCCCGGCAGCCGTGAAGAACAGATCGCGGTGTTCGTCCGCAGATGCCCACACAACCTCGCCGTTCCCCAGGATAATTTCTATCCCGGAAATGGTACGGTCGAACAGTCCATACTTGTACGAACTGCTTTCACCGCTGGTCCCAGCAAAACTAGTCGTGTATCAGTCTTGCGTCCAAAGCCCATGGTATACCGCACATGCAAAGTCGATTTCAACCAAAACTTGACGAAAAAAAGTCGACAAACGTATGAATAGAAACACACAATCAACTTACCCTCCTCCAACGGTAATATTCGGCAGCTCCATAACAACCTTTGGCAGCAGCCCCCTGGCCATAGTTGCCTCGACCAGCTCATCCATCGGAACATTCGGCTCCACAAGCACCGTCTTCTCCAGCTCATCAAACCGCAGCACATGATTCAGCGAGCTCACATCAACGACCTGGTTGCGAGCCCGCGACGACGTCCGCGTCGACAGCGTCGAGCCATGGTATATGCGAAACGGTGTTTTCGTCTCATTGAACCGCGCGACCTGCGCTGCAAGCACCGCTACTGTGGCATTGTGCGTCTCCATGGCGAAAAGAAATGGGAATTGGGTGGGAGGGACGGGGTCGGCACCACCAATGTTCGTTGTCGTTGTTGTCGTTGAGTGAGACAGAGAAGTGAGGATGAAAAGATACGATAAATGTGCGACGGCCTATGAATCTTTTTGGCGTCGACAAATATACATAAAATATGTAAGCTAAGGATCCGTACGTATGCGTATGTATTAGCAGGGCTGAGCCCTTTTTTTCTATTTGGTTTTCTCCACCATCCGCCCGGATCCTGTCAGAATCCCACCCCCCCATCAATGGGGAGGGGAACCAATGGGTCTTCCGGAAAGTCGCTTTTTGTGTGCGGGGCAAAAGCAGGACCCGTCTTGAACTTGCTTGTTTGATGTCCGGTCTTTTTTGGCAGAAAGCGATTGCTGTCAAGTGCTTCGGGGGCTACCCGATGAAGCTGCTTCTTTTCCAGCCTGGCCTAACTAGCTGGCGGGACAATCAGAATTGGGGTACTCTTTTTTGTTCGTTGGCTTTCCACATGCATCCCGTGTCGATCGCCTTGTGTTGTGCATGGTGACCGGAAACGCGGATGAGGCTCCACTTGCCTAGGAACGCTGACGTACGATGCGCGGCAAAACTCCTGCCAGCCTTTCTCTCTTTGCTACGTCGGGACTCGCGTATCTAGCAAAGAAAAAAAGACAAATGACGAGACTGCAGTACCTGGACGCAGCGGTCACTCGAGGAAGATTGGTGCGAGGTTCGATCGGGCATTGTAGTCTACGGTCCGAGGAAAACCATCGTGGGGCATCTTACGGCCCGCTAGCGCGACCTACTCAGCCTCACCTCACAGCCACAGCCACACATTATCGACGGAGCCACGCACATCCATTCGCCCGTCAGTCACTAGAGCGGTAAAGGATAAGAAGAAAAACAAAAAACACCTACTGCAGCACCAATTAATCCAGAGAAAACATGGAGCGCCACAAAACCACCGTAGAGGCGATCCGCTCCCGCATCCAGCACTTGTACGCTTCAAAAACCGCGTTCCGCGTCTATCACGGCAGCACGAACAGCACACGCCATGCTGCCTTCGACCGCGACGCCATTGTCGATGTCAGCACTCTCAACCATATTCTGTCCATCGATGCTGCCACCCAAACCGCCATAGTCGAGCCCAATGTCCCCATGGACGTCTTGGTCCAGGAAACCATCAAGGCCGGCTTGCTTCCCCCCGTAGTCATGGAGTTCCCGGGTATCACTGTCGGTGGCGGCTTTGTAGGAACAGCGGGCGAAAGCAGCAGTTTCAAGCACGGCTTCTTTGACCGGACTATCCTAAGTGCCGAAGTGATACTTGCAGACGGCACGCTGGTGACTGCGTCGCCGACGCAGAACGCGGATTTGTTCGAGGGATTGCGCGGCAGTTTTGGGACGCTGGGCGTGCTGACGTTGGTTGAGATGCAATTGATTCCGCTGAGGCGCATGGTCGAGGTCACATACCATCCTACTTTTTCATTTGAAAATGCCACGGCCAAGATGAAGTTTCACACTACTGAGCCGCAAAACGACTACGTTGATGGTGTCTTATTTTCAAAGTACACGGGCGTCGTTGTAGCTGGGCGGCTTGTAGATACCGATCACGCGCCTGATCTCCCTGTGCGACGTTTCTCCAGGCCGTGGGATGAGTGGTTCTGGATCCATGCGCGGTCCGTTTCGTCTCGAGGTATTGTGAAGAAAGAGCTGGTTCCTGTCCAAGACTACCTCTTCCGCTATGACCGGGGCGCCTTCTGGATGGGCATGTACGCTTACAAGCACTTCATGGTTCCGTTTACGTGGTTGACGCGCTTCTTGCTCGATTACTTCATGCACACGCGAATCATGTACCATGCCTTGCACGCTTCGGGATATACTGATTGCTACATCATTCACGACATTGCTTTCCCCGCTGACAACGCTGCACCGTTTCTTGAGTATGCCGACCATGCCTTTGGCTTGTATCCTATCTGGCTGTGCCCCCTTCGCCGCGACGGCAGAAGCTCCATGGGACATGCGAAACCTTTCCGCGGGCTGGTCGGTGGCAAGGAGGTAGATGGATACGAAGGCGAGGATATCAGTGTCGGGCTGTGGGGCCCGTATCCGTCTGACGAAGCGGGATATGTGCGTGCGAACCGCGAGATTGAGGCAAAGATGCAGGAGCTCGGCGGCTTGAAGTGGTTGTACTCGCGCGTCTTTTACACTGAGGAAGAGTGGTGGCAGGTCTATGATCAGAAAGAGTACGATGAGCTCCGGCTCAAGTACCACGCCACCTCTCTGCCGTCCATATGGGACAAAGTCAAGGATCGAGGGAGGAAGGAGGACTTTGGGACTGGCGTCAAGGGGCTCCTGAAGAGGATTGTGAAGAGCAATGCTTTCCTGTCTGGGTTGTATGGTATTTACAAAGCGGTAAGGGGTGGTGATTATATGTTGAAGAAGAAGAAAACCTCGTGAGCCATGATGGTGGAATGGAGGCCCGTTTATATCCTGTCTACACATTAGGTCTCATTCGACGCAGCAATTCTTCCTACACGACGTATATTGGCGACTCACCTACTCTGCCTCCATCTTGGCCCTCTTCATCTCGTCCTGCCTTTCAGCCTCCAACTCGCGCATCCTCTGCCTCCGCATACACCACCTCTCCACATCCGTCAGTGGCTTCGTTGCTAAATCGGGTTTCCTGTCTTCCAAGCTCTTGTGAACTGACATCTTCAGTTTCGTCAACATGGCCGATATGGCAATGACCACGACGAAAACCAACGAAGCCCAGTAAAGCACCAGAAACTCGATGTAAAGGTCGTCGGGCTCGTCCGGTGGACCAGCCGGGGGAGGCACGTGTGCCGTCGGGGGTGCGGGTATCTTGGTGTGCAGATGGATGCCTGGCATGGGGAGGAGAGTCGACATGGGCATGTCCTGCAGCTTGAGAGCGGGGACGAGAAGCAGGTTCGACAGGGGCGCCTGGCGGGTGAGGATGCTCATGAGCTCGAACATGGATATGTTGAGGCTGTGGGTCAGAGCATCGAGCACGAAGATCTTGTCCATGTAGGGGTCCGAAGTCATTTTGCGGTTGCTCGGTTTCTATCATTTTAGTAGGTGTTTTTGAATGAGGTCGTTGGACTGCCGTACCTGGATGAGTCGGGGGTGCGATACTATTGATGGCTTCTTCTCGCACCGACATGGAAGGAGAAGGCATTGGATGGTTCTATGACGTAGCTAGAGGGGCATTGGGAGAAGGTCCATGAGAGGCAAGAACTCGTATCACGAGAAGGCAGGTGCGGCCGGGTTGTGTATGTACAGCAAGGGCAGGAGCGAGCTGGATGTAGCAGGAGCATGCGGATCAATTGGCTGATAGCATGTTGTTTCATTGGAAGGCGTGTTCTGGGCCAAACATTTCGAAGCATAGAGCAGACCAGATTCGGAGCGCGATACGTCATTGTCACATTGATCATGGTGGAGTGGTTGAGTGAGGATGGCGATGGGTCGGATTAGCCATATGTACTTACCAAGACGTCGGCGACGGGACAAAGGGATCAGCATGCGATCCCCAGCCAGTATAACGGCACGAGGGCAGGGATACACAAAGGCAATTCGCATTGGCCCAGTGCCTTGCCTGGGGCCTTGTTCCCATGCACGGAGCCGTTGCGAACGCTTCGCTTCTCGGGGGCGGCGGTGAAGACGGTACATGCACATACATACGAGCACTGCGGGGCACTGCCGGAGCCACGTCGATTCGGGGACGACCAAGACTCCCAGATGCAAAGGGCTCTGTCCTGTAAACGCTGCTGTATCATACATGCATGTCGACGGCGCCGAGTTGCAGGATACGGCGCAGGGCAGGGCAGAGCAGGCCAGGTTCGCTTGATGGGGCCAGCGCACAGACTGCACATGGTTCGCGAGCTTTCCATTTTGCCTGCCGCATCAGTGTGGTCCTCACTAGCACTCTTGCTCGCACGCGCACAATCCCCAGCCCGCCTGCTCCCATTGCCTCTTCTTCCACCTCTTCCATCATTCTCTCGTCCTCCAGGGGCTCTTATCATATCCCGCCATCTAATCTGCTTAGACGCCGTCTCCGCCGTCGCCCCCGCCACGCCCTCTTGACGATTTCCTCCCCCATCGTCTTTGCTCGCTACGGCCCGGTATGCGCCATCGGCCTGACTCCAGCACTCGACATTGCTTATATTGATTCGCTTCTCTAGACTCCAGGCGCCCGCCTCATCCTTTGTCTAACCTAGTCCCTGCTCCTCTCCGCGCCAGCAAGCCACAATCCGTCGCAGCCCTCGGCCACCACACACTCCACCCTCCCTCTCCACATCCAAAAATGGCGTCCACCGAGTCATCCGGCCCCGTCAACGGCAACTATGCGCCACAGGCATATGAAAACAGCTACTCTACCGGCGCCTCCAACTTCACACCCTCGCAGCAACCAACCGCCAGCCAGCCCGCACAACAAACATCCGCCTCCGAGATCCCCAAAGACGAGGTCGGCTGGTACTTTGTCGAGCAGTACTACACGACTCTTAGCAAGAGCCCCGATCGACTCTACGTAAGTCGCACATGGCCAGCCAGCCCCTCGTGAGGATATGCGGCTGACGCAATTTGCAGCTTTTCTACAACAAGCGCTCTCAGTACGTGTCGGGTGTCGAGGAGGACAAGGTCAACGTTTGCCTGGGCCAAAAGGTATGTAGACGCCCGTTCTGTGGCTGCATCGAACTAACAGGCATGCAGGCAATCAATGAGCGCATCAAGGAGTTGGACTTCAAGGACACCAAGGTCCGCGTTACCAACGTCGACTCGCAGGGCTCTGACGCCAACATTGTGATCCAAGTCATTGGTGAAATTTCCAACCAGGGACAGCCCCACCGACGCTTCGTCCAGACGTTTGTTCTTGCTGAGCAGACCAACGGCTACTTTGTCCTCAATGACATCTTCCGCTACCTTGCCGAGGAGCCCAAGGAGGAGGAAGAGCCGCAAGAGCAAGCTACCCCCGCCAACGGTGTCACCGAGCCCGCCCCCACCGCTGCCGTGCCTGAGAATGCCGATCTCAACAAGAGCGACGAGATTGCGACCACTGAGGAGGACTTGAACAAGGTCGACGACAAGTTGCACGGGGCTGCTAAGCAAGATCCAGCTGTTGAGGAGGTTGCCCCCGCAGCGCCCGCAGCGCCCGCAGAAGAGGTACCAGAGCAGACTGAACAGCCTGAACCGGAAGCGGCACCCGCACCTGTCGAGGAGAAGGCTGTCGAGGAGCCCCCAGCCCCCGTTGAGGAGACACCCGAGCCCCCGAAGCCTGCTACGCCCGCTCCATCCGCACAAAAGGTTGCTATGCCCTCTGGACCCCCGAAGCCTAGCGCTCCCCGTACTTGGGCCAGCCTCGCAGCCTCCGCACACAAGGTTGCTACTCCTGTTGTAAACGCACCCGCCTCGCAGCAAACACCTTCTCAGCCCAAGGCTGCTGCCGCTGCCGCTGCTGCCCCCGCTCAATCCGCCGCCGCTACTCCTAGCCAGCCCGCCGCACCAGCCCGTGAGCAATCTCCTGCCACTAGCCAGGGTGAGGCTGCTGGCTGGCAAACGGCTACCGGACACAAGAAGGAGCAATCTCGCGCGCAGAACGCAGGACCTGCCGCCGATCCTGACCAGAAGCGCGCCTACATCAAGAACGTGTACAGCCAAATCGAGGAGGGTGCTCTGAGGGCCGCTCTGACCAAGTTTGGCGAAATTGAGTACCTTGACATCAGCCGTGGCAAGGTGAGTGAAAATGGACATTGCAAAACATGACTGAACTAACGCACTCTTAGAACTGTGCCTTTGTCGACTTCAAGACGCCGGCTGGATTCCAGGCTGCTGTCGCTGCCAACCCACACACTGTCAACGGCATTGAGATGAAGGTTGAAGAGCGTCGCCAAAACCCCGGACAGTTCAACCGTGGAGGATTCCCTCGCGGTGGTGCTTCTCGCGGTCGTGGTGGCATGGGCGGCCAGGCGCCTCGTGGCAACTTCCAGCCCCGTGGCCGCGGTTCGATGCGCGGCCGTGGAGGTGCGCCCCAAGAATCCTAAGGTGCGACGGTGTTGTCGGATTCTCTCTTCAACCTTCTTCGTTCATTCCTTGATGAGCTCGTTCAACTCGATGTCTTCACGACTGACGGCTTTAGCTGTGTACTGTACTCGACCCTTTTTCAGCGCTTGTATAAAAGTCATTTCATTTCGAGGAAAAGTCTGGGCGTATGCGTTCGTCCTTGGGGTTTTGAGCCCTTGCATAGCGAGCGGTTTCATTTCAGCATGGTTTCCTTTGTCCTTTGACGTATTCGACGAGGCCCTTCTGTCCGGTTATATTCCCTTTCTTGTTTGCGCGCGCATTTCGAGTCACCTCACGTTTAGGGTGGACTACTTGATGGTGGAGGCACGGGCGCTCGGGACGGTCATGGCATGTGGTGTAATGGGGACTGGTGCAAGACGTACAGCAATGGCATGTTCCAGGGCACGATGGGCCGAGGACGGGAAAAGCAATGGCAAGACGGTCTAGTACGAATACAACATGTGGGATGTGTATGCATCTATGTATCAATGTATGTAACGAGGGGCGCATGTGGTGGAGCTAGCGTCACGGGGTAGCGGGAAGGTCGCGATAACGTCAGCTGATAATGCGACTCGGGGCATGCAGAGCGGCGCCCGTCGCTGATTCGAGCATGGCCAAGCCCGCCCGCATCAAACAGCGGCCTAGCAGGTAGCTCGACGACGACGGACGGATAAACTTTGGGGTACCTATGGCATTCTGTCTTCTTCCCAACACCCGTCCACTCCGCCTCGCGCTCCCTTGCGGTTCGCGATAGATCCAAGGGCACATTGACGCGCTGCTTACGAGGCTAACACTGCAGTAGCTTCCCGCGGGGCTGGCTAAGGCGGGGCCGTCGCGTCCATCACATCACCACCACTCGGTACTTGGTTGCTTTGACGCTTACCAAAGTCGCTCTTGGCCACCGACTCCCGGAGCCTCTGCATCTCCAGCCATATGCTCCAAGCCCGCGGCCAGTATGCGACCGCTACTGGGCGGCGACGCCGCCACTCCTGCTGTTAAGCCGCCGCGCTCTCGCAAGCCGAGCGTCGACCATGTCGCCCCCGTATCCAACGTACCCACTTCGTTCGTCTTCAAGCGCCTCGAGGACCTGGAGCAGCCCGCAGCTCCGCTTCACGCCGCAAGCCCCGTGGCCAGGCAGGACCATGGCACCTTTGGAGTGCAGAGCCTCGCAGATACCCTGGAAGCTGCCTTTGGCCCCGACGATGCGCCCAGGGGCACCGAGTCGCACAAGACCACCAAGACCAAGGCGCATAGGCCAAAGAGCTCGAGATCCGTGTCGCATGGCTCCTCGACTGATTCTCCCGCGCTGCCAGAGGCTACCAAAGCCGCAACGTCCCACAAATTGAAGAGGGACCTCTCCAACCACGGTTCTCTACCCTTGAAGCTGCCTGGCGCCGATGTACCCTCGCCATACCCTGCATCTGCCATGCCTAGCACACCGACTTCGGCTTCCATCACTTCGCTGAAACTGTCCGACGAGGAGTTTGCCATGGAGGAATTTACCAGCCAAGCTGCCATGTCGAGCGGAGAGGAGGAAGAGCAAGTCGAAGTACAGCAAGACGTCATGAGCTTTCCACAGCTAGTTATGCCTGTCATGCAGATGCCCAAGAGAAGGCCATTTACAACCAAAGGCAAAGCCATGAGCAAGCTGAAGATTATGATCGCGGGCGAAAAAGGTACGTCATGATCCGCGTCTACGCCAAGTACCCTTCTCAGCGCATCTTGTACTGACGGTATGATATAGGCGTCGGCAAATCTTCTCTTGTTCGCTCCATCGTCCAGGCATGCGAGGATATTGTTCACGTAGACCCTCTGTCGTCAAACTCACCGCCACGGACGCCCAAGCACGGGTCTCGCGCAAAGAAACGAGGGCATGCGGGTACAACACGAGTCGCCGAGATCCATGCAAGCACGAAGCCGTACCCACACTGGTGGACTGACTTGGACGAAACTCGTGGGCTGCGAAGGAGGAAGAGCATAACCGACAGCGTCTTGGAGAGAAACATTTGTTTTGTTGATACCCCCGGATACTCACCAGGACCGACAGATGGAGAGTACATGGGTACCGTCATAAACTACGTGGAATCTCTCTTGTACCAGATCTCATCAGTCGTGTCGCTACAGGACAACGATGCACTTGGACTTGTCAGCGGTAGTGGTGGCGTCTTGGTTGACGTTGTAATCTACCTGTTGTCGCCAGGTAAGCTAAATAGTCACTTGGTCGTAGGTGATTGCTAATCTTGAACAGGTAAAGACATCACCAAGGACATTGAGTGCATGCAGCGTTTGTCACACCTCACCAACGTCATTCCCATCATAGCGAAGTCCGACACGCTTCCCGCGCACGAAGTTGTAGCACTGAAGACTTCGATTCTCGCTCAGCTACAGACAACTGCCTTCAAGCCCTTCTTCTTTGGAGAGACGATAGACGACGCATTACTCAAAGTACAGGCCCTCCCCTTGGCAAAGACTGCTGTCTCTGGCGTGTCAAGTGAAGCAGCTCAATACCCCTTCACAACGCCTACCTACCCGTATGCGGTCTCGTCTACTCTTGGTCCAGACCACGAGACTATGGATGCGTCGCTGCTCATGTCACCAGACTATGTGCAGCCCCTTTTACCCTCTGAATTGACGACGCTGGTAAAACAAATATTTGACCCCGAATCTATTACTTGGCTTCGACATGCAGCAGCGAAGAAGTTTGTGACATGGCGCCGTAGGATGAAGCTTCCTGGTGACTCGACCATGCTACAAGGCATGATTCAGCCACGCAGTCCAACAGCGGCTTCAGTGGGCCTCAACGGGGCTGTGGCCAATTGTAAGATATATTGAGATGATAATGTGTCCTCAGGCTAATTTTTCTAGCGTCACGAGCATCTTCTGTTTTCTCGGCCATGTCGCCATCGGGTGTGCTGGTACCAGGCTCAGGGTCGCCATTCTACCCGTCGAACCTACAGTCTCCAATGTTTGCGTCTTCTACATCCCTAGCAAACTCGGAGGCGCTCGAACCCCCAGGAAACTTTTCTCTGGCGAGATATGGCAACTCTCTGCAAAACGAACAACCCTTCAGTGAAATCCGGATTGCGCGATGGGCTACAGATCTGCAGCGGAGCCGTCGCAACGAGCGAGACCGATTCGAAGAGCTTCAGAGCAACGAGAGAGCAAAGTGGCTGCTTGAACGCGTTAGCGAAGAAGTTTCCAAAGGCACGATCGTGGCATCTCCTGATGGTGCTCCGAGAGCCGAATGGGCAATGGTCAGACACTGTGATGAGAAGAAGGTTCGCAGTGCTAGCCAGCGATATGCCAAAGCCGTCGGACTCGACTCGCGCGATCCCCTCGGTCTCTGCAACCTTAGCGATGAGCTCAAGAGACAGAGCTATGTCCTCGTCAAGGTCCTCGGTGGCGTTAGTGTTCTGGGTGCCGTCACTATAGCCGTCATGAGAGCCTGTGGCGTCGAGACTACGCTCTCGCCGAGTTCGTGGTGGCATTGGGTCACGGCCACAAACTAGTATGAGTGTGTTGTTAACCTGCTGCCCGGATCTGCCTCCTTCTTCTCCTCCTCCTTCTTTCATGTAGGATAGGGTGATGACAAACGAGACAAGAGTACTGAATATACCCCATGCTTTGCTTTGCTCTGCTTTTGCCTGGCGTAGAGTATGTCTAATGTTGGTAGATTGATGATGAAAGGGACTTTTCCTTTATTTTTTCCTTTTGCTTGTACATAGCGAATGGGTGTGCGTGTTTTTTTCTTTTGTGCTTTTTTTCTTCTTCTCTCCTATGTCGCTGGGTGTGGTGTGGTGGAGGAATCAGTGTAGATTGAAATATCAATATATATAAAAAAACTCTCATAGGAGTCAATTGGATGGTGCTGGTAGTGATTGAAATTGCTGACGATGTATTTGACGGGGTGTGATTGATGATGTGTGTTGGGGAATAGTGGCCAAGTTTTGGTTATTGTGTGTATATATGTAGGTTATTATGGAAGACAGGGGAGACAGGGGTTAGAGTAATTCCGTAGTCTGATATCACTCCACCCGTCTCCTTTCTTTTTTTTTCATTCGTCCCGTAGGCCAAGTACATCTTAAGCATGGTTATCCACCTACTCAATCCCCTATTTCCACTGCTTCGACCAGCGGGATGTATAATCTGCATCTAGATGTAGACTCGATGATGCTGGCAGGCGGGGCATATCTCTCCGCTGTCAGTAACTAGAATAGAGCCGGCGGAGGTGCCTCTCAGGCCTCCAGCAGAAACTTTTCAGAAGCACCTCTGTTTATAGAATGGAATAGCGGAAAGCAAGAATATGCTCAGTGAGCTGATGGTGACTGTATTTCAGTGATATTTCTCTATGATATAGGTAAGCAAGAATACATATACTAAGTAAGCTGATCGTAAGTGAGTTTCGGGGGTAATTTCCATCAAACCCCCCCCCTTGCTTTCAATCTCACTAGTTTTAACAATAAAACCCCAAGCTATTCTATTGGAAAATTCTAACAAGCAAGTCAATTCGCTTTTCTCTAAATCTTCAAGCATCCAGGTTTCCCAGCTCATCATGAAGGCCTATCATTACTACCTCATCACTCCTTTCCTGTTTACTCCATGTTTCGCCGACATGTGGTGTTAGAATCTGCAAACATGTCCTGTAAGTCCAACCAACCACCACATACGCTACATTTAAAGAAAAACGTCATCTCATTGTCGCGCAGACGGGATCTTGCCATAGTGCTCTTGACGATAACTGCAAATATTTAATAAGGCGTAATGGTGTAGATCCGTGTTATAAGCACCAGCTAAATAAATATTGCCTAGGCATCTACTTTGATAAAGCCCTTAAGTTCAAGGATCACTGCTTTATTAGAAATCAACAGGCAAGCCAAGCCTTTACTCGGCTAAGCAGACTAGCAAATAGCAATAAAGGCCTATCACCTAGAGCCTTTAGACAATTATACCTTGCCTGCATCACTAGCGTAGCAGACTATGGTTGTCAGATCTTCTGGAAACAACAACAACTAGCTCTTAAACAAAGGCAATTACTACAAAACAGAGCGTGTAGGAAGATTCTAGGCACATTTAAGACCTCCCCAACTATACCTAGTGAGGTAGAGGCCTGCCTCTACCCACCTAGAGTAAGGTTAAACAACGCTCTTCGACAATACGCCTTTAGAGCTCAAAAACTAGCCCCAAACCACCCAATTAATATTGCTATAACTAGCAATAAAGGGGAACAACTAGATCAGATCACTAGATCTATCTCCACAGTTCTTGCTAGAAACACTGAGGAGATACAACATTACGCCTTCACACCTTGGAACTCAAATATCCCATACAAGGTCTATATATCTAAAGAGCCTAAAGACATAGAAGCAAAGAACCACAAGGAACAACTAGTAGATAACAGCCTCCTATCTATCTATTCTGATGCCTCAGCTACAAAGCAAGGCAAAGGTGTAGGAGTAGGGGTTGCATTCTATCTAGGAACAACACAAATAGCCCAAGAACAATATACTATAGGAAATAACCAACTAGTTTACAACGGTGAACTAGAAGGTATTACCCTAGGGCTAGAAAAAGCAATAGAGCTAGCAGAGACTGTTTAGATATAAAAGTCTATGCAGATA